GAGAGAACAACATAGGCAGGCTCAATTGCTCGGGAGGAGAGCGGCCTGCCCCACTCCACAAGGCACACCTGGGGATTAAGATTTAAGGAGACGCTGTGGGGTGGGGCATTTGCCGGGAACAAACATGGGATCTTGAGATTGTTCTGACTTGTGCTCTTGTAACCTGGACACTTTGTATTCCGGACCAGTTTGTTTCCTGATTCACAACCACAGACTACATTCCTGATCTCTCCTTGCAGTCTGCAGTTTGCAGTTTGCAGGCAAGCTGAGAGTTAAAAGGATTCTTTACGTTTTCTTGTTATCTGTCTTGCCTTAAGAACAGTGTAAACTTCCCTGGCTGTATTGTTTGAACTCGTGCCAGCATATGTGGGGGCTTTTGGGTGAACATTGGCAGTGATTAAAAAGACTATTGCTTTTTTTTTTTAAATTATTTTTTATTTTTCCAAACTCTCCCCCCTACATATACCGTGATATTTATCAGATGTTAACATACCTTCTTTTTACATTCATATATAAGATGCTTTTAATAAAATGAAATAAATACATACACATGACTTTTGGTGTTGCTCGCCCATTTCCTCTTTCACTGTATCTACACTCCTTCTCTACCTTCTTTCTCCCTTTCTTCTCTTCCCTACTTCCCTCTTCTTCCTCTCCTCTCCTTCACCACTCTCCTCCCCTTTCTCCCCACTTCTCCTTTTCTCCTCCAACCTTCCTACTTCCTTCTCCCCTCCTTTACTCTTTTCTCTCTCCTCTCCTTTCTTCCCTCTCATCCCTCTTCAGATACAATTCAGGGGTAATGAAAAAGACTATGGCTCTTGCCAGCTGATTGCTTTGCCTCTGTTCGGGGCCCTGGGCCAGTCACCTTCTCTCAGCCCTGGGAAGAAGAAGGCAGAGGCAAACCATTTCCCAAAATGCCCCTTTTCATTTTTATTATTATTATTATTATTTTTGATTGAGCCATCTCTTTACAGGTCAAACTCCTTTTGGAAAGTTTGACTTTAACTTCTTCTCTGGAAGTGAAGCAGAGGACAGAAGTTGTGACTGGGATAGAGCATCCCTAATAAAATGCAAACATGCCTTTTCCTGATTGGGTCAGGAAAATAAGCTGAGCCTCAGCTGATAACTTGGGGCAATTTCCTTATCTCCCTCTGCCAAATAGGTTACTGCAGGGCATTCACTTACCAGATTCCTGGACAGATTTTGCTGGGTTAACAAATTCCCCAATGACAACATCTAATCTAGAAAAAAGCTGGGAAGGTCATTGGTTAAGCAAACTCTTCGATAAGCAACCAAAGTATATCTTTCATTGTGGCTAATTTGGAAGGGAAGTCTCTCATCTCTTAACAGCCAAACTCTGCTATTACACTTTTATTCAGATTCAGCCTTGCCAAAAAATAAAAATAAAAATCTGTGAATATAAAGGACCTAGATCCATAAAAGACTCCCTCTTTTTTTTTTAAATACTCCCTCTGATGAATGATTATTCATTAGTAGACTTGTGATGTCTTAATTGTCCGATCAAATTTATTACAGCCGTGAGGGCAGATGCAAGCAAAATATTTAATATAATAAATATTACATCCTTCTACATAACTGTATAACAGAAAAACATCTGCAGTAGAATTCTAAGAATAATTAAGAATAAAGATACTAAAATAAATCCAGATTAAAATACTATTATATATACTATTATATAGTATATGTATATATATATATGTATATATATATACATACATACATATATATGTATATATATACATATATATATATATATATATATATATATATATATATATATATACATACATACATACATACATACATATATATATATGTATGTATAGGTCTTTGATTATTCGGGTTTTCTCCCACGTAAAATTGGAAGTGTCTTGGCGACGTTTCGTTGAAACGTCGCCAAGACACTTCCAATTTTACGTGGGAGAAAATCCGAATAACCAAAGACCTACATACAAACACCCGCGAAAACCTCAGAAAACAAATATATATATATATATGTATATGTATATGTATATGTATATGTATATGTATATGTATATATTGACTTACAACCATTTGTTTTGTGACCGGAGTAACAATGAAAAAAATGACTTATGACCATTTCTCACATGATGTGCAACTTCCCCATGGTCACATGATCAAAGTTCAGATGCTTGGCAACTGACATGTATTTATGGCAGTTGCAGTGTACCTGGGTCATGTGATCAGCTATTGGGACCTTCTGATAAGCAAAGTCAATGCGGAAACAGATTCATTTAACATTCGTGTTACTAATTTAACAACTGCAGCAATTCACTTAACTGTGGCAAGAAAGATCATAAAATGGGACAGAACTCACTTAGCAACTGTCTTGCTTAGCAACGGAAATTTTGGGCTCAATTTTGATTACAAATAGAGGACCACCTGTAAGAAGTTCCAAATCTAAGTAATGGTATGGCATTTTGCACAAATGGTAGCACAAAGCTAGGTGATTTAAGAGATTATTTTTGAGTCCTTTTCTGAAAAAAAAAATACTTTTTTTTAGGTATTTTGTTTGTACCTGGCCTTCTTGTCTGTATGTTGTCAAACCATATTTTGGGGGAGCTGTTGTTGCTTGAAGAATTAATCCCTGTTGCTTTTTCATTATGTGTTTTTTTTTTTAAAAAAATACTTTATAGTAGAGTATTTCAGTTTCATTTAAAGTATTACTTGGATTGATGTTTCCAACTAAAGCAACGAAGAATTCGTCAGTATATTGTTAGTATACATAGATATTTCACCTAATACTGGTAAAAATTACAGATATAGATTGCATTTTTTAAAAAAAACAAATACTATTGTTGTGGACGGGATTGTAAATTAATCCTGAGTTTCAAATGTGCTTGTTGATTCAAGAGTTGGGTCCCCTGATTTGAGGGTGAGAGTAAAAAGATATATTTTTGATAACGAAGAGAAGGACAAGGGGGGACATGATAGCAGTATTCCAATATCTCAGGGGCTGCCATAAAGAAGAGGGAATTAAGCTATTTTCCAAAGCATCTGAAGGCAGGACAAGAAACAACGGGTGGAAACTAATCAAGGAGAGAAGCAACCTAGAACTATGGAGAAACTTCCTGACAATGAGAACAATTAATCAGTGGAACAACCTGCCTCCAGAAGCAGTAAATGCTCCAACACTGGAAGTTTTTAAGAAGAGACTGGACAGCCATTTGTCCGAAATGGTGTAGGGTTTCCTGCCTGAGCAGGGGGTTGGACTAGATGACCTCCAAGGTCCCTTCCAACTTTACTACTATTATTATAGGTATTAAAACCAGCCAGATTTTGTAGTTTCTGACACTAAATTAGCCATCCTTATTTGGAAGTAGCATAATTGTCCATAATTGTCTGTCCATGAGCAATGCTCGAAAGTTGTTTAACACAGAGGTCCCCAAGTTTTTGGGCACCAGGGACCGCTTCCATGTGGAGAGGTTTTTCTGTGGACCGGAGGATGTGTGGTTTTGTGTGCTGCTTGTATCCCATGGATGGGGATTTGTTTGTGTGGACCGATTGTTGGCATGCTGCGGCCTGGTACTGGTCCACAGATTGGGGGTTGGGGACCCCTGGTTTAACACATAGAGGCAAGTCCAATTTGCCTATTGTTCAGAAGCAATGATAAAAAACCTAGGAAGGAAGCAAACAGCCTCTCCTGCAGCCAATATTCAGAAATGCAGGAGAGAGCTCTTGATAAACTGGGAAGAAATCCCATTCCAGCAGACTGGCAGATGAGCAATCAGCCAATTTCCCTCTCCCTGGCACCCATCTTATTGTCTAGCCTGGTGACAAATTATATCCAGGAAAGCAATCAAGGTCAGTCAACTTTAGAAGCCAACAGCTTTGATCATCGTTTACAAGATAATACGTATTTCTTTTAAAAATTAAATAAAGTCAGGCCTAGGAGATTATCTGTTCATGCCAACCTAGGTTCCCTCATGTAGAGATTGGTTTTCTTTAGTTGAAAAGAAAGTGTGTCCTGGCCCACTTTGGGTACCAGCCATTAGCTGAGGCAGATCTGAAGATGCCAGATGCCAGATTTTCCATGAGATGCTAAGCTGCCCCAGTAGGTTTGCTTCATTGTAGATAACTACAGATTCCCTCCAAAACTTGGGCATGCACAGTGCTGCCTTTTAGCAATCTTTGGCCAATTGGCAAGAGAAATATTTACCAATAGAATCCTAATTTATCTTGCATCACATACAAACATCTTAAGTTAGCTGAGTACCAGATTGGATACCCCGTCAAGAAGATGGCATTTCTCTTGAACAAGTTAAGCTCCCAACTCCCCCCCCCCTTTTTTTTGGAACAAGTTTTATTAGTTTTTTAATTTTTATATCAAGGCGCTTAGGAAACAACATGGTGATAGGGTAATCAATCATCCAAAAACCAAATCGTACATGTATAGCTCAGGTTAATTCCTTAAATAGTCCCTCTCTATTTTCCTCAATTAATATAACATATTTAAATTAATAAATTTCTAAATAAAATTCAATCAATCAAAAGAGTTATCAATAACATTTCACCCCTTTGTTGAGCTCCAAATGGCATTGGGGTCCTAGGTAGATTCACTTGGAACCACAGAGAGGAGGGCAGAGAGAAAAGTTACAAAATGGAAATCAGGTAGGGAATCAGATCACAGAAATTAGTTGCAATTATATATTTTTTCTCCGGTTAAAATGAGACCAGTTTTCACTTGCTGATGTTTTAATTGGACAGAGAAAAACTGCAGCTCATTCAGCAGATGAATGACTTCTTGAAATAATTCAGATAAGAGTTTTCTCTCAGATTTTTATATGATTTCAGATGCCTGCATATGAAAGGATAAACATATTAATCTGGATAGTATTAATAAAATCAGGTGGTGTGATTTGTTAGCTTTGGAATATTTTTAAACATGTTTTGGAGAAAACATGCATTTGGTAAGAAAAATCTGACATTTTGTCTTATGCTGGTTATATATCTTTCAGCGCAAGCGTGTGCAGATGTTCTGGATCTAGCTAAAGAAGCCAGGAAACGGAATCTTGGTCCTCTTCACCCTTCCTTCAATGTGATGAAAATAATAAGAGATGGCCTCTACAAAAATCTCCCTGAAAACTGTTACAAATTGTTATCAGGGAAACTTTCAATTTCACTAACAAGAGTGTCTGATGGGGAAAACGTATTAATATCCAATTTTAATTCTAAAGAAGAAGTTGTGCAGGTACGTTCTAGTTTTTTTTTTACCATGTCATATTTACAAACATGGGGCTCACCAAAATACTCCTGTCCAGGGGTGGGATTCAAATATGCGAACAACTGGTTCTCTGTATGGATGCCGCTTCCGGAAGTTCATTCTGGGCCTGGACAACAAAAAATTAGCTATTAGTTCTGCCGAAGTGCTACGAACCGGCTGAATCTCACCACTGCTCCTCTCCCTAGGATTCTGATAATTTGAAAGACTTCCCTACAGGAATTTGATTTGGGACCTGCAGTGTTATAAGATCCCCCACCCCGCAGTTAGAAATAATTATAGCTAATCTTTATTTTTTTAAATCTTTGATAGGCCCTGCTTTGTAGCTCATTCGTACCTATATATTGTGGGCTCATTCCACCTTCATTTAGAGGAGTGGTAAGTATAGTTTATTGGTTATAAATCAGGATGGGATTTATTGAGATAAATTGAGCTGAGACTTGCTGTAATTTGATGGGGTAGCATAGTGTTTCCCAAACTTGACAATTTTAAGGCATGTGGACTTCAACTCCCAGAATTCCACAGCCAGCGTTGCTGGCTGTGGAATTCTGGGAGTAGAAGTCCTCATGCCTTAAAATTGTCAAGTTTGGGAAACACTGGGGTAGCAGTTTCCTCTTTAGAGTTAAAATGTGGTAATTTAGAGATTGGCTCATTTCCTTTTGTCTAAACATGGTTGAATTAAGTCAGCTTCATCAGTTGGGGGAAGGAAAAATCTTGTGGAGGAAATAACTGCTCTTATTTACAGTTTTGGGAAGAAGTGTGAAAGAAAGTGCAGCAGTGAGAGAAATCTGTGAAAATATTTCACTTTTTAAAATCAGCATATTGAATGCCATGATCATTTGATTTAAAACTAGATTTTGTTACATGATCAGCAGTACAGGTAGTCCTCGACTTACGATAGTTTGTTTAGTAACCATTCGAAATTACAACGGCACTGAAAAAAGTAACTTAATGACCGGTTTTCACACTTAACAACTGTTGCAATATCCCCACAGTCACGTCATTTACATTCGTATGCTTGACAACTGGTTCACATTTATGACAATTGCCGTGTCCTGGGGTCACACGATTCTCTTTTGTGAATGTCTGACGAGCAAAGTCAGTGGGGAAGCCAGACTCACTGAACAACTGTATTACTTAACAATTGTGGTGATTCACTTAACAGCCGTGGTGAGAAAAGTCGTAAAATGGGCTAAAGTTCACTTAACAAATGTCTCACTTAGCTACAGAAGTGTTGGGCTCAGTTGTGGTCGTAAGTCAAGGGCTACCTGTACATTGTCTCAAAGGTATAATAATGCTTTTTCAAGTGCCTCTCTTTCCCTCAGGATTTTTTGGAGGGAATTTGGATGCTGCCCATTCTTTAAAGAACAATAGCGTATATCAAAATGGGGAATCATGCTGCGCATCTTCATCAATTATGGTCTGGGTGGGCTAAATATTTGATTTTATGGTCCCGAGCCACTCTTATATCTTGCATTGTTCACTGTTCTTACTACTTAAGGCAGAGGTAGGCAACCTTGGCTCTTTTATGACTCGTGGACTTCAACTCCCAGAATTCCAGCATAGCTGGCTCAGGAATTCTGGGAGTTGAAGTCCACAGTCATAAAAGAGCCAAGGTTGCCTACCCCTGACCCTAAGGCTTGTATCATGTTTTATCTTGGGTGTAGGAGGTAAGACGGTAGGCAGGTACATTGATATGTGAGTTCATTGTGCTTCTGGTTAGTATGTACTCATTACAAGATTCTAGAGTTAAATGCTAGATGTGTGCAGGGCACAAATACAGTTATTGTTTGGAAAAGGAACTGTTGAAAACTGACCTGCATAACAGTAAAGGATCCTCTCTTGAAGATTAATGCTAATGATTAACCTTCTTACCTTAAGTCCTCCCTTGTGCAGTGTATTTGAGGGCCAGGCATGGAAGTTAAAGAGTATCTGGATCTTGGCTATAAAGGAACTATGTCAATATTAATAATTACTTGTATAGTTTATTTTTCTGCTTTAGCAACAAGAAAAGTGTTTTTGAGCAGACAACAGCTAGATCAGCTTGTGTATGACAGCTTTATTTTCATGCAATTTTTCTTACAAATACTTCAGTGTGGTTTGATGATTCAAATTCCTTTTGGGGGGGGTGGAAATTTGCTGGTCCATATTTTTTTCAGTATATCTATTTAGATAGATTGTCTTATTTTACTTCACTGGACCAACATCTAAAAGAGTTTAGCAAAGTGAGAAATATAATAATACATGCTTCTTGATTTTCTAAACACACTTTCATTTCTCTACTGTCATTGAGTAAAAACCTCTATATGGTTTCCAGTTCCAATTCTTGTTACAAAAACGCAATGAATTGTTTTTACCTAAATGGGCAGCTGAATAAATAAACAAGTAAATAAATATAATTAGAAGACAAACATTTTGCTGCGATGGAGTGTGGAAGATTTATTTATTTATTTATTTATTTATTTATTTATTTATGAAGCTTATATACCGCTTTAAGTGCAAGCACTCTCTAAGCGGTGTACACCAGTAAGCAATGTATATATATATATACATTGCCCCCAACAATCTGGGTCCTCATTTTACCTACCCCAGAAGGATGGAAGGCTGAGTCAACCTTGAGCCGGTGAGATTTGAACCGCTGACCTGCTGAACACAGTCAGCTAAAGTGGCCTGCAGTACTGCACCCTAACTGCTGAGCCACCTTGGCTCATGGATGGAGTAAAGTAGAGGGCTGAGGTCATACACCCTGGCAACTTTCCCAATTTGGAGAAATTCACATTCCTACGAATCCTAATAATTCATTTCTAACATTTAGGAAGGGTTTTCTAACAGTTTAAGTTTATTTTGCATGAGTCAAATACGATGATTTTGGGCTTAAGCAAGTACAGCATTTCACGTTTCTCCTCTTCCTCTCTCCTTTAAAGCGCTATGTGGATGGTGGATTAACTGACAATTTACCTCACTATAATTCGAAGAACACCATAACCGTTTCTCCTTTCTCTGGGGAATGTGACATTCGTCCCAGGGGGAACTCTGCAAACTTCCACCAGATGATTCTAACCAATACAAGCATTCAGTTTAGCTTAGGAAATATGTATCGTTTAAAACAAGCACTTTTTCCTCCAGAGTCCCAGGTATGGTATGTCCAACAATGCCTATTATGGAATCCTTCTTTTTATTGATGTGGATAGTTATCTGTATAACTTTTGAGAAAATGATATATTTTCCAAACAACACAAAAAGAAGAATATTATGGAACTTTAATTAACGTTCCGTAATCTGTGACCCTAACCATTGGCCAGGCTGGTTGGCCCAAATGGAATTTGCAGGGTAGAAAAGTTCTGTAGTTCTCTATGTTAGGAACAGGGCTGATGCTGTTAAATTTATAAAAGAGCACATTGAAGTATTTTCCAGTATATTGTACCATCTTTTTAGGCCAGTGTTTCTCAACCTTGACAATTTTAAGGCATGTGGACTTCAACTCCCAGAATTCCACAGCCAGCAATGCTGGCTGTGGAATTCTGGGAGTTGAAGTCCACATGCCTTAAAATTGTCAAGGTTGAGAAACACTGTTTTAGACGGATGCAGCAGTTATTGAAAATAGCCAGTTTGGGTGCAGTGCTGAGTGCAGCAGTTATTGAAAATAGCCAGTTTGGGTGCAGTGTTGAGCCCCAGCTGGAAACCAGGAGATTGTGAGTTCTAGTCCTGCTTTGGGTATGAAAACAGCTGGTTGTTTTTGAGCCAGTCTCTGTTGCTCAGCTTTAGGAAGGAAGAGGCAAAGGCAAGCCACTTCCGAAATCTGCAGGTACTAGTCCAGGAAGCTGCCAGGAATGACCAATTCAAAGGTGTACACACACACACACACACACACACACACACACACACACACACAAACACACGTGTTATTGGACTGTTGTGTCATGTTTGGAAGTTCATAGATAACTTAAGGTTATCTGTGGTTTAGCAAAAGTAGATAATTTGTTTTGCACAGAGTTGTTTTCTCTTCTGCTTGCTTGTGCCTAATTGGAAAAAAAAATCTGATTTTTAACATAATCTGTCCAGTATTTTAAATTTAAAAAGAATACTGTAAAGGTGGGGGCGTATGCATATGTATACCCACATATGTCTGCCCATGTTTGTATAAAGGATGTGTGTGCTCATAGATAGTCTGATTAATTCCTATAGGGATGTAATTTAAAGCCAGTGAAAAAAAGAGCCACTGAACACATTTTGATATCTGTGAGAAGCTGGTCTTAATGGGGTGAATAATCTCACCTTTTGCTAATTATGTAAATGCCGCATGGAACGACATTATGAGATTGAGTACACCTTTTTCTCATTCCCACTGACTGCAAAGAAAGGAAAGGAAGAGAAAGAAAAAAAAGGAAGGAAAGAAAGAAAGAGAAAAAGAAAGAAAGAAAGAAAGAAAGAAAGAAAGAGAAAGAAAGAAAGAAAGAAAGAAAGAAAGAAAGAAAGAAAGAAAGAAAGAAAGAAAGAAAGAAAGAAAGAAAGAAGAAAGAAAGAAAGAAGAAATTTCATGACTAAGTTCTGGGGAGATGATCTCTGGAATCATTTCTGCTATGACAGTCTCCCTATCAGGAATCCAAGGTTGTACCCCATAAACTTTGAGGGCTTGTCATGCCTATTGTGCTGGAAAATAAGGAATTAGTAACGTATGTCATTTGTGGTGGTTATATCACACATCATCAGAGGTCATCATGGATGCCACTCTGCCATCATCACCGGCAGAGCTATACCTGAACTGTAAAAAAAGGTGGATGCACTAAATTGGTGTTTTTCCATTCTAGCTATTGGGGAATTGTGGAAGTTTAATTCCACACACCTCAAAAGTTGCTAAGATTGACCACCATTGCACTAAATGATTAAAATGAGGAGAACTTTGAGGTCAAATTGGACGTACCAATATGTGAAATATTATTCTACTATATTGAATTGATTAGTTGGCTTTCCTTTCTTATGACATGTGAGAGAAGTTGTTTTTTATGTCTGGCTTTTTAGCTTTCTCAGTTGCCTGGGCGTCATGTTTCAAATTTCTTTTTCTGTTATTGGATTATGAAAGTACTCTATGGCAACTTTAAGACTTGTGGACTGGCTGAGGAATTCTGGGAGTTGAAGTCCACAAGTCTTAAAGTTGCCAAGGTTGGAGACCCCTGCTCTATGCTTCAGCTGGTATCATGGGTTATTCTCAGGAATATGGGAATAATCTTGGAGAAATCATCTACTTAGCAAGACTGCATTGTTAATTGTACTTGGCTCATGGTGCTGCTTTTCCTCCCCCCCCCCATGTTGCACAATGCCCTGTTGTATGGCCAAAAAGGAAAGCCAGTTAATATTGTGCAGGGAGACAATTTAGGGAGATTAGGAATATCGTCATATAGTCTTCCCTCAAGAATGTATTCATTTAATACCAGGCTGTAAGTGGAAGTAAATTAGTTCTGAACAGTTTGCTTTATTTGTCCACAAGCAAGGCATTAACATTTTCAATATGAATATAAGTGTCATGAAGTATGGAAAATGTTCTTCCCGCAAGTTTTAAAACTTACTTAACTAGTTTTCTGTAAATTTCTTTTCAGTTGCTAGCTGAACTCTGTGAACAGGGCTATTCCGATGCTCTTAGATTTTTGAAAAAAAACGGTAGGTTATTGTTTTCAAGCATTTTCAAGCAAGCATTTGAAATTACAATGGCACCAAAAAAAGTGACATGACTATTCCTCCTATTTACAACTGTTGCAGTATTCCCCAGATTTTGGATGCTTGGCAACTGGTGTGTAATTATCATGGTTGCAGCCTTCTGGGATCATGTGGTCACCCTTTGTAACCTTCCCAGCTAGCTTCCGACAAAGTCAGCAAGTCAACAGGGGAAGCTGGATTCGCTGAACGGCTGCAGGATTCACTTAATAACTGCAGTGATTCATTTGACAAGTGTGGCAAAAACGGTTGTAAAATTATTTACTTCACAATTGCTTTGCTTGGCAATGCAAATTCTGCTTCCAACTGTAGTTGTTAGTCCAGGATTGCCTGCATTTGATTTGACAGATTTGCCACTGAATGTTTGCTGTTGGAAGTAGCTTTGTGATTTTCTTCCTGAGATACTTTTATCCAATGAATATTGGCATTTTAAGCAACCCAAGCCTTGCCAAAAAGATATGCTATATAGGCATGCTATAAAATTAAATGTAAACGATTGCTAATTCATTGCTGTTTGCTAGCAAGAATGTCTCAGCTTTAAAAGTTGGAAGAAGCTGGTAGAAGTTAACAACACAATTGCAAACAAACGTGACATTTTTAGTTCAAGATTTAGAAAATCTTTGTGGTTTTTTTAAGTGTCTGCATTTTATCTAACTTGCTTTGCATGCTGTCACTCATAGCAGAAACATTTGTTTTTTAATCTATTTATTAAGGTTTTCTGCAAGAGTCAGTATTTATCGATTTAGTCTTAACCAAGGAGGAATATCTAGGATATGCACAAATTTCAGGCTACAGTAATAAAAAAATTGCAGCAAATAAAGATAAAGAGATGCCAGAAGAAAAAATATTTATTGATCAGCTAAGGGCAACATCTTGGCCATTGGATAAGACTATCTTTGAGAAGCTGCCTCCCAGACTTCAAAAAGGTAAAATTCTAAATTAATTGTTTTAATTGCAAAAAATAAATACTTTAGTATCTTTGGCACTAGTAAGCAGAGACCAGAGAGAATGTGTGATTTTTTTTTTCAATTTGTATTGAAGCATTTTAATTGACTATATAAACAAGAACATAAAAATTTGGCAATTACCTTTAGCTGGCCAAAACTATAAGCAGGGCAGTAATGGAGCTTCTTTGAGGGTTTCGTGAATTAATTTACTTTAAAAAGTTTTGTTTCAGTATTTACACTGGTGAACGTCATTCATTTTGCACTGGTGAAATTTGGTTGCTGAATGTTCCAGAAAAGGAGTGAATAATCAAACATACTAGAACAGTGGTTCTCAACCTTTCTAATGCCGCGACCCCATAATATAGTTCCCCATGTTGTGGTGATCCCCAACCATTTATACATCACCGGGTGCCAGGGGCGTGGCCAAAGAAAAGGGGGAAAAATGAATGTTCCAGAAAAGGGGTGAATAATCAAACATACTAGAAATAAACTAGATTAACCATCCTCCTTTATACTGTTTGTAATGTTTATCATCTAGATATTATGAGAAGACAAGTTGATTTTAAGTTAATTTTGGCTGGAAATATTAGACCATTTAGTTGTGCAGAGTGTTTGTCAAGCCTCTGTCATCCCAAATTGACTTCCTTTTCCAAATTAAAGCAAAAGTGTTTTATTTCATTCATTTATTTTTTGGGTATCAAAGAATGATTTTTTTTCATGAATCCATTTTAGCTAGAGATTAGACAAGCCGAGGTAACCCAATGTCTGTGTTTAATTCACAATGCTAGAATGATCCAGAGTCTCATGACTCAGGGAATTAGTGGTTATTGATTCCCACTGAGAGAGGCTAAAATGAATTGAAAGTTGTATAAAGCAAAATGTAACTTGATGATAACCCGATTAGAATACTAGTCATCCTACTCAGTCATTCTGGTGGGAAAAAGTTGATTATGTCCTATCCATATTTGTTCTTGCTTGATGGTCCATGAATGAATTCCGTTCTGATGATCTAAATTCTACAGCATTACAAGAGGCTTGTAAAGAAAAAAGTGGACTTTATGCCCAGCTTTCAAAATTTCTTCCCATGCGACTAATGTCCTATATGATGCTGCCATACACTTTACCAGTTGAGTCAGCCTTCTTTGTGGTCTTAAGGTGAGTGTAGATGATCTAATTTCCAAATGTTCAAGGTATCTGGACATTTTTCATAAAGTTTACATCTGTGTTATCCTTCCAAAAGCTCTTCCTTATTCCTTCTGAGGCCATTTTTCTTAACAGGCTAGACCTGCGTATATTTATATATCTATTTGCTAGATTTATATCCCACCTTTATTTTATGGAACTGCAGGCGGTGTACATAGTGCTCTGCCTTCCTATTTTTTCCCCATAACAACAACCTGTAGGGTGGGTGAGGCTGATAAACCTGGTTTCTTGCTTAGATTTGAAGGTGAGAACTCATTGTCTCCTCGTTTCTAGTCCAGCATCTTACAAACTGGTTCTCTATATGTTGCAAATAAATGAAGTTCTTGAGCTAGAGCAGGCATGTCAAACACACGGCCCATGGGCCGCATCCGGCCAGCACAGGCCAAGCCCACCCCAGCCCTGTAAGGGCAAAACAAGTCCCAATACGTCACAATACGATTGGGTTTGACACCCCTGAGCTAGAGGAAAGTTGCTCATAGCTTGTATGTAGTGTAAAACCTACTTAGGAGTAAGCCCATTGAGCTCAAAGGACTTACAGTAAGAAAACTTGCCATCTTGTGAGTTCGTGGCCGAGATTAGATTGGCCTGTTCGGTTGCATTACACTGCCTTAACTCCTGTTTATACTTACACTCCTTTGTATACAGTTTATATTTAAAAGCAGAATCACAAGTATGTTTCCTTTCCTGAGTTTTTTTGTGTTCATAAACCAGCATGTTATGTGTATGCTTTTAAAAAAAATCCCAAACCTATGTTCTAGTCACAGCTTTAATATCTAAGTCCATTACTTGCACCTGGCAAGAATGCACCTATGAAAATCTTACGCTTTTTAAAATTTTTACTTTTAAAATAGAAGTCAATACTTTAAAATACTTTTACTTTTAACACAGAATTTAAAAAATATTTCTTTCTCTTATAAAAATTTAGCTCAGTGGTGGCGAACCTTTTGGAGACCGAGTGCCCAAACCCCAATCCAAAACCCACTTATTTATCACAAAGTGCCAGCGCCACATCAGCATTGTGGTGCCCTTGGGGGGGGGGAGAAGCAGGGAGGTGCCTCTGAGTGCTGCCTCTGGCATGCAAAAACCGGGGATGCAAAAATGGGCCACCGTACTGCAAGGTGCAAAAATGACCGTTGTCGCGCCGCAGGATGCAGATACAAGGTGCTGCACCACGCAAGAATGGGGCAGGGCTAGTGAGTATCACGCAGGCACTAGCTCCGCCCCATTTGCAGCATGTGTGTGCTCGCGGCCCCATGCGCACATGCACGATGTAAAATGCTTCCCCCTCCTTTTCCGTCCACTGAACGACAATGGTGGTGACTTCTGCTCTACCACCTCTACTCAAGCTTGCTAGTCGGCCGCTTTGCCTCCTTTGTGCTAGGCGGGGCTCCTGCTCTCGGCGATGGTGGTGGCCTGATGGACCTGCTGCTGGCAGCGATGGCGTACGGGCCAACAGAGAGGGCTCTGAGTGCCGCCTCTGGCACGCATGCCATAGGTTCGCCACCACTGATTTAGCTGATACCAGTGATGTTGGGTGAAATTTTTAAAAACAAGCACCCATTCTGAACAAGTTTGTTTTGAAGGACCGCCTTCTTTCTCTCGATTGCAGATTAGTCCAGTGGTTTCCTGACATCCCTGAGGACGTGCGATGGATGCAGGGACAGCTTTCCCAAATGATGGGTTCAGTCTATGGCCGAGCCATGAAGGGTCTTCTGAAGACCCCAAGGTATGTTTTGCCCCTTTTTTTTCAAGGGCTCAAAGATCAAAACACCCAAAGAGCTACTTACATCTTTAAAATTGCTTGTATTTAATTGACTCCAAGAGTAATTTGCTCTCAAGAAGCTCTGAATCCAGAGTGATCACGAAGGAAGGAAATCTTGGACGCCCCAGAGGGTGGGGGTCGTTTGGGAAGCCTGAAAGAGCAATCCTGCTGTCTCTTGGAAGCAGAGTCTAAGGAATTCCTCTTACTTTCTCCCACCTCTGTTCTTTGACAGCCATGGCCAGTTGCAATATTAGAGTGTTTTCTTCTGCATTGTAGTTAATGTGCCGCATAAAAAGCAGAATTTTCATGCATGCATTTTTTCCCTAATTTCAATAATAATAATTTGATAGTCAGTGTACTGAAAAGATTATTAACTACTGTCCGCAAGAGGCTTGTTTACTAACTTTTAAAAATTAGAGAAACTTTTTGAATTTCTGAAAAAGAAAATCCCCATTGCATGCCGGTTATATTTCAATTTAACCATTTGTCTTGAATGGCATAGGGCAGTGGTGGCGAACCTATGGCACGAGTGCCAGAGGCAGCACTTGGAGCCCTCTCTGTGGGCACACATGCTGTCGTCCCAGCCCCGCCTCCCCCCACAGCCCCCTCCACACCAGCAGCCCCCCCCCCAGAGGAGAGTCGCCCCCAGGCACGGCCTGCCTGGAGCAGCGTAGCCAAGGACATGGCAGCCGGGCAGTGGGGACAAGACTCTGCCCTTGCGCCTTGTCACAAATAGATGATGCTGTGGGACACAAGTTGAGGGCGTGGCCACCATGGCACTACTGGGCCGCCTGGGTGATTGGTGGGCTGTGGAAGTGGCGGGTGGCCCTGCAGGTGGTTGGGGGCAGGCAGGGATGGAGCAGGGGTGAGGCAGTTTTTGGGCACTCGTTGTCTAAAAGGTTCGCCATCACTGGCATAGGGTCTCCTGCTTGAGCAGTCGCTCCCAACTCTCTTATTCTGTTACTTCTCCCATAAAAATAATTCCAAGACTTGCTAATGGCTAATTTCTTGTTGTCCTTGCAGCAAAGTAAGTGAAATCTTGCTTAGAAAATGCCAGACGGCCCCAGGGGAGTCTTGCCATCATCTGTCCTACTCACCTCCTAAAGCATCTTGCTCTTCCCCCAATTTTGAAGAATGGCTCTGGGGTCTCCCCTATTGCGAAGACTTGGCGAAGGGGAAGGGTGCAGTTGGTCATTCCGAAATCTCTAGTTCCATCGCTTCCTTTTTCATGGACACTGAAACCTCTGGAGTATCCACGGATATTGACTCTTCTTCCGAGAAAAGCTTTTACTCTGTCCCTGAAGACTAGCTTGGGGGCTGTGGCATTCAGCCGGGCAATCTCCATCTTGGTGACATGCGTTCTTCTAGCACTTTGCCAAGCCATCTTTAGGATACTGCTTCTCAGTCTGAGCAACTTTTAAGGTGCTAAGTTGAAGTGGACTTCAACTGAACCCACTGCACCCAAATTCTGGGAGTTGAAGTCCACCTGTCTTAAAGATGCTGAGGTTGGGATGACTTTGTTTACAACTCACTTGCCCTTGAGGCATCTTTTCTGGACTTCAAGGCCTCTAGTTTCTCGATAGTGGATAAAGAGTTTAAAAGGCCTAAGAGCGGTAGACCGTTTTCGTACCCAAACAAAAAAAAAATCCAGCAGGAAGACAATCTACATCTCCTCGGTTGATGGCTTTATATTGGGATAAGCATTTGTAGGACAATGTTAACTTTTTTGTTAAAAAAATAATAATTTTTACAGTAAGATCTGTAGCTCTTGTGTGACTTTTTTAAAGGGTTTTTTTCCCCGCACTTGTGTGGAATTACACATCTCCTACTTAAAGAGCTAGAGCATACGGGAACTTCAAGGAGTTCCTTTTTTACTTGACGTATCTGGCAGAGAAATCTCATGCAAAATGAAGCAAACACTCCCTGCCTTCCACAGGTAGGCAGACTGGGAGCAGAAAGGAACAACGTTTGATACCCTTATGTTTTTAAACAGGAAAAACTATATTTCATTAAAATGTATTGTTTATGTTGGTGTTGTTATAGGGCAGGGGTAGGCAACCTTGGCTCTTTTATGACTCGTGGACTTCAACTCCCAGAATTCTCGAGCCAGCCATGCTGAGGGGAAAGGGAGAGGTTTCCAAGCTGAGCCATGCTGGCTCAGGAATTCTGGGAGTTGAAGTCCACGAGTCATAAAAGAGCCAAGGTTGCCTACCCCTGTTATAGGGCATGTTGGAAACAGGGCATGTTGGAGAATTTCTGGATGTCCCAATTTCTCCTGTTTTTGTTGGACTTTTCCTAAAATTAATCTCCAGAGCACTAGTTGGGGTAGAATGGATCGCATATGACTTCTTCTTTTTATTTGAAACTCCTTGACTGCCACAAGGAAAACACAAGGATTTTGTAACCCTTGGGGTGCTCTCCAAAATCTCATAAGAACACACTCACATACACACACTCTTTTACTGCCAGAGAGGCTTCCATCTGCTATTCAGGTATTCCATCTGAAGACCACACCCTAAGATGGAAGCCTCCAAAAGTATAGACTTCATTTCTCAGAATTCCCAAGCAGCGTGACCTTTACTGAGAATTCTGGGAGTTGAAGTCCACCCATTTATGAATACCCTAATCTGGGCAACTTTAAGATACGTGGACTGGAGGATTCTGGCAGTTGACGTCCACACAACTTAAAATTGTCAGATTTGAGAAACACTGCTCTAGAGTGCGGTGTCTAAACCAGTATATTATTTTCTATGTGTAATGTAGACTTTACATGTAGATATCCTTGAGGCTAAATTTAATTCCAATGAGTAAGATGAATCATAAAAAATAATTCATTGGTGGAAGAGAGATTCAGGAGTTTTTTTGTTTTTTGTTTTACATAACTAGTGAGCTTGAGAGCAGATGTCATTAGGAAATATGTTGTCCAGTTTCCTTAACAGGAGAAAATAATAGAGATCTATAATGTAATTTGGAATTTGTGGATCTTAAAATTTTTCCCCTTGTTCTTCATTTTAACTTGATTTATCTCGGAGGAAGAAATTCATATATTTTCTCTTTTCTTCCTTTTAAATTTAAATTATAAATAAAATCCATACATTATTTATTCCAGATTTTATGAACACACATATGATAACATGCCAAGTTGTTATAACTTAAGCCTTAATTTGCAATAATAGTAGGACGTGACAATAATATGACATCAATCAGCCATATTTCAAATGAATTCAATAACTTCTGTGGAATACAGTTCTTGACACTTTATGTCTCAGTATTTGCTGCTTATAGTAACAGGAATTCTTGTACATAACACAAATATTAAAATTGTGTTTTCGGAAATCAGACTTTTGCTATCAGTAGCTTACCAGCTCTGCACTGTGGCACTGCAGTGGGTTAAAGTATCTCTCATGGCAATCCCTTATTAGAATATTTTCTTGTTAGGTATTATAAATTTTCCAATCAAAGGGTTAGGGTTAGGTTGGAGACTTGTTACAAATTAAGTGGAGAATAATATTCCCATAGGAATCCAACTAGCTGTTTTTATTTATTTCAAATTGTCAACTTTTTACCAGTTTTTCCTATTTGGCATTTTAAAGAAAATCTAAGAAATGCTGAGTGGAGAGGAAGGGAATGAAATGTAGTTAAAACAGTTTTTCACAATGTTAAATGTTTTAATGGCATGGACACAGACTTATTTATATTCTTTTGATGCTATTTTCAGCTAGTGCCAAAGTACTGTTTTGTATGACAACTGATCATACTTATTTTCCTAAGCCTTCAATGTATTTCCAAAATGAACTGTTTGTAATGTTTCTGCAATCAGCAGTGTTTTTAAAGAACAGAATAAAGAGATGTTGTGTTTGGTGATCACTGTTTTGTTCATTATCACTAGTCAAATACTTAATTGCTTGATAGAACCACTTTATGATGTGATCTATGAATATGCTGCACTTCTATACCATTTTATTTGTTCATAATGCTGCAAGTTGACATTTCATTCATTGCCCAAAGCAGTAAACATTGTCTTTCTATGAGTATTTTTTTGCAAATGGTAAAATATTCATTTCTATAATTCCTTTAAAGTCTTCCCTTTTTTCACAGTGATTTAACAAAGCTCATTGCAAACAACGATATATAGAATCTGATCTTTTCATAAAAATTCAAATGACTGGAAAGCATAAAACCCATGCAGAGCATTTGGCTTCGTTTTAACATTTTATGAATCATATTCTGAGATTGGGGGTGGATCAAGTCCTTGAACAGAGACATTTGAGTGGGGTTTTAAACAGAATGTAAAATCCGTGTGTATATACACAAAAGGATTATAGCTCTCCTTCAGTAATTATCTGGGTTCAGAGTTCTTTCTAAATTTGTCAAAAATTATTTATTTTTTAAAGCATTGAAAAGAAAATGCAGGCTGTGGCAAACGGAACACAGAAAACTGTTAAAAATGAATTTATAGCCGACAGAACATTCTGAAGAGGTAATGGTTCAGAGCAAAATTGTTTAGCTGCAGTGTGTAGTAAACACAAAAGAATGGCCTTATTGTACATAGATTACCTTCAGTGAAATAAGTAACACTATTTAGAGATGCTGTGACTTGGGAATAAAGCATTCCAGATTTCTGATGATCTTGGCTTCCAATAATTCAGCAAAGTTGAAATTGTAATGGTAAAAGCGTTCAGGAAATTCAACGGTTCATGTTAGACTGAGAACCTGAAATTATGGTCTTGAGAGAACAATTCCATTCTGTGATCAAGAAAACATACAGGGATGTATCCATGAAATCACCAGAAGCCAAACTCAACTTTGGCTTCTGGTGATACCAACCACAAACCTTTTAAGTATAATTTTTGAATTGATAGAATGTATGATTCCAGAAAGTTTTGGAACCTTATCATAAATAATACTCCAAAAAGCTAAGAGGAAAAAAAATACAAAAAATAAAAATAAAAAACAGGAGCACAAACCAGGATAGGATGTGGAAGACTTGGCTTAGCAGTAGCACATCTAAAGGGGACCATTAAAAATGCCAATGCTATCTTGGGCTGGTTTAACAGGAGCATAAAGGTCAGACTCTGGGAGCTAATCCATTCTGCCTTGGTTGGATCCCACCAGGAATTGTGACGGGCACCAGAGTCAAAAATAACAATAATAAATTGGAATATGTTTTAAGAAAGGCAAACAAGATAGTGCAGGGTGAGAAAACTAAGCCCTCCGAAGAATGGTGAATGGATTTGGGTATGTTAAGCCTTCAAAATAGATGGTTAGGGGTGATAGGTTATCCATTCTCTCTTCTCCCAGGAAGAGGAGCAAAATCTCCCAGAGAGGAGGACCCTGATTCTGTGAGCCGTGAGCCTTTAGTATGGCCACAACATGGTCACTTTTCTTGTTTTCGCATGCTGGCTGGGCAATTCTGGGAACTGAAATCTACGCCTCTTTAATATCTATGGAAATTCTCAGTCATCCAGGTAATAGTTGTCTCAAAGGTGCTTTTTCAAGAGGCAATTGGACTTTCTGTTTTTTTTCTTTGAAGACATTTCACTTCTCATCTAAGAAGCTTCTTCAGCTCTGACTGGATGGTGGGAAATGGAAGGATTTATATTCCTTGCAGATAGCTGTTCATTTGCATTCTTTTAGCAGGTCATTAAGACCACCTGGAGGTTTATTTGTGTCATCAGGGTCACCTGAGTAGTGCAAATGGGTGTGGAGCCTTCTTGGGACTGTTGAAAGAACTGCATTGTAGATGGAATGGGATGGGATAGAATAGAATAGCATAGATATTGGAATGAATAGAATAGAATAGAATAGAATAGATCAGTGGTAGTTAACCTGGTCCCTACCGCCCACTAGTGGGCATTCCAGCTTTCATGGTGGGCGGTAGAGGTTTTGTCTGATACTGAAGCACTTTCCTTTTTTTAAATTTAATTGACTTTTTAAAAAAATTTCATAGCATTATTTAAAAGCATTCTCATTAGGTTTTCATAAAATTCCCCGTGACAATTTAAATTTCTGAAACTATATTATTTGTATTGCCTGCGCATAAGTTTAGTTCACGTTATGTAAGTGAAACTAAATGGCGCTGTAGTGCAACCGCAAACAAAAGAGCCTCGTCTCAGAATAACTCGTGTATCTCCCCCCACACCACCCAGCTGTAACAGACAAGCAGAGCTGGTAGCCGGCGCCCCCCCAAACCCAATCCACAATGCGCGAGAGACATGCGCAGACGACAATACACAGCGCAGGGTCTTTTGTTTGTGGTCACACTGGTCAGTACGCAATTAGATTTGTGAGAGTGAGCACATGCCTACAACTTCAAACAAAATGTTGTGAGTCCATGTCTCAAAAAAAGAAATACGCTCGTGGTTATTTGCCAGAGTATCTGAAGATGGGTTTCATAGAATCTGTTGTAAATAAACAGCCAATGTGTTTATTGTGTCATAAAACATTATCCAATGAGGAAATGAAGCCAAGTCGATTGCAAGAACATCTTTCTACAAAGCATCCAAATAATGACAAGCCCATTGAATATTTTCAGGAAATATATAAAAAAATTCAAAATCGTTCAACAATCGTTGCATCATTTAAGAAACAACATGCAGCGAATGAAGATGGATTAATTGCCACTTATTTCATTTTACAATTAATTGCAAAAAGTGGTAAAAGCTATAATACTGGAGAAACTGTAATAATACCCTCTATAAAAGAATTTATCTCAACAGTAATGTATCAGGATATACCTGAAATTTTAAAAACGTTGCCCTAAGCGATAGCACAGTAAAGCAACAAATTGAAGAAATGGCAGTTAATGTTGAAAAAAAACTGATAAGTATTCTCCAAAATTCTTCATTTTCCATGCAATTGGACGAGTCTACCCTTGCAGATAATAATGCTTTATTGATGGCATATGTACGTTATTTTGATGAAAACAATACAAGAAGAAATGCTATTCACAATAAATCTCATTACAGATACAAGAAGATTATCTATATTTAATACTGTAAAATCATACTTTACAAAAAATAATATTCCTTTGAATAATATTGTTGCATGTCTACTGATGGAGCACCATCAATGGTAGGTTGCTATCGTGGATTTGTTGCTTATTTGAAGGAAGCAGTGCCAAATGTTTTATGTATTCATTGTGTGGTGCATAGACAACATCTTGTAGGAAAACATCTAAGTACAAGTCTCCATTCATCATTAACTATAATAATTCGAGCCATAAACAAGATCAAATCCAATGCAAAAAATGATAGAATGTTTTGACAGCTTTGCCAGGATAATAATGAAGATTTTATTACGTTACTTTTGCACACAGAAGTTCAGTGGCTGTCAAAGAGTACATCTTTGGCTCATTTTGTAGCATTATATGATAGTGTCATACAATTTTTTGAAAGTAATAATGAGACCAATCTGTGTCAACAGTTAAAAACAGTAAAGAATAATGCCTTTTATTTGGCAGATATTTTCAAGAGATTTCATGATGTCAATTTGCAGCTTCAAGGAGCTAACAAAACTCTTACAGGTTGCCAAAGTATTGTGTCATTATTTATTGACAAACTTGAACTACTTCGTTATAATCTATTGAAGAGAGAATTTCATCAGTTTCCTGAATTATCATCTATAATAGATGATGTAACTCCAGAGGATATTGACAGATTCAATAGCCACCTCAACGAACTTAAATTGGACATGGAAAAACGATTTGAAGATATTTTGAAATTGAAGGTGTATGACTGGATGAAAAATCCTTTTACCGCAAATATTGAAGAGGCTGATACAACTTGCCAAGAAGAACTATTAGAAATTAGATATGATGAAGAAAGTAAACATAAATTTGATAGTGGTGGATATGAAAACCTATGGCAAAGTAAAAAAATGCCTGTCTTATATCCAAATATGTGGAAAATGATATTTAGTTTATTGATACCTTTCTCTACCTCATATCTTGTGGAATCAGGCTTTAGTGCTGTTAATCATATTATGACCAAAGAAAGAAACCGCCGAATATTTCAGAAAGAGGAGACCTTTGTTTGTTCCTTACAAAAATTGAGCCAGATATCCAGTATTTAGTTTCGCAGCATCAGCCTCAGGGATCTCATTAATAATTTAATTAATTAAATGTAATTTCATCAGACTTCATGCTTCTATGTATACAAAGTATAAATAAAAAGATAGATTTAACTACAGTAAGTTGTTTTATAAAGATTTATTCTGCCAAACTTAGCGAAAGTCCGACATAAAGTATTTGGTAAGTAATTATTATTATATGCTTTAACTTGCTGTAACTCTGCTTTATAAATTTTATAAAGTAAAGTTACTTCCCTACTTTATAAATTACCATTACTATGCAACCGGTGGGCGGTTAGAAAATTTTACTATTAACAGAAATACAAAAGTGGGCAGTAGGTATAAAAAGGTTGACTACCCCTGGAATAGATATTGGAATGAATAGAATAGAATAGATATTGGAATTAATAGAATAGAATAGAATAGAACAGAACAAAACAGAACAGAATAGAACAGAACAGAATTCCTTATTGGCCAAGTGTGATTGGACACACAAGGAATTTGTCTCCGGTGCATAAGCTCTCAGTATACATATAAGTAATAGTGATAATCATGATCATATACAACATGAAAATACATTCCTCATAAGTTGTGAAATACAACACTTCATCATAAATCATAAGATGCAACACTTAGTGGTAGTCATAGCTAAATACTAGCTAAGATAGATGATGTCATATCCTTCCCTCTCTGTTGAGAAAGCGCTGTTCACTTTTGATATAGCCCAGAGGTTTCAAACTGTCAGCCCACAGGCTGGATGCATCATGGTGAAACCGCACCCACCCCATTGCTGGCAATGGAAAAAAAGTCATGATATGTCGCAATACATCACACATGACATTGCAAGTGAGACACTCCTGACATAGGTGCTCTCTTTGACCCTTCTTTTAAACCAGTGGTTCTCAACCTGTGGGTCGGGACCCCATTTGGGGTCGAACGACCATTTCACATGGGTCGCCAAACAAGGCTGTCCGCCATTTTCCCCCCCTTTTCTTTGGCCACGCCCCTGGCACCCGGTGATGTATAAGTGGTTAGGGGGTCACCACAACATGGGGAACTGTATTATGGGGTCGCAGCATTAGAAAGGTTGAGAACCACTGTTTTAAACCATGGTTGAAAAACCAGAAAGTCCAGTTGCCTCTTGAAAAATCACCATTGGCACACCTCTTTAACATTGCCAAGTTTGAAAAACACTTTTCTGGTGGATCCTCTATTGAGCAAATGAACTCTCAGCCTTTGATCCCATGATTTTACAGTTCTACAATTACAGATAGTCCTTGATTTACAACAAGTTGTTTAGTCACCGTTCAAAGTTATAACTGCACTGAAAAATGTGACTTATGACCATTTTTCACAGTTACGACCTAGGCAGCATCCCCATGTTCTCATGATCAAAATTCAGATGCTTGGCAACTGGTTCATATTTATGACGATGACAGTGTCCCAAGGTGATGCGATCATCTTTTGCGACCTTCTGACAAGCAAAGTCAACGGGGAAGCCAGATTCACTTAGTGTCAGAGGCGACCAGGAACTTCTGCTCTCACCGCCCAGCCTACCTCTCAGGGTTGTTGTCGTACCGAGAAGCAAATGGAAAACTCGGTATGAACCCCTTTAAGATACGGGAGGAAAGGCGGGGCTACAACCATCAGCCGGAGGGCAGCGAAGGGGTTTTTTTCGGCGTACCTTTGCTGCCCTCTAATGGCCGCTCGGGCCTCTCGCGGCTTAGGCCCCGCTGCCCTAGGAGAGAAAGAGCCGGTCGAAAGAACTGCCGGAAGTGTTGGCACAAGGGTCTTGGCTAAAATGTCTATCTCTAAAGTCTCACACAAGTGCTGAGGAACCGATCTCCTTCCGCCCTTTTTCTTCTTCGGGCCAATCAGGAAGGACCATCGCCTCGAAGCTTCCGGAAGTGGAGAAAGAGGTGTCTCGCGAGGGGCGGCCGCTGCGCATGCGCGGAGGGCGGAGCGGGGAGCGTTCGAGGTCGAGGCCATGGGGACGGTTCACGCGCGGGTAAGAAGCGCTCGCCCGGCTGACCTTGGGGGGGGGAATCGTGGAGGGGGGAACCCTGTGACCCACGGTGGTCCTCTGGTTGTAAATGGAAGACTACCTGTATTGGTTCATGAGTTATTCACTGTGGATTCTGGTGAGCCCAATAATAAACCCTTGACCTAATGTGCAAATTATTCTCCATCTATGCTGGCTGACGTATTCTGGAAGTTGAAGTCCACACATCTTAAAATTGTCACAATTGAAAATGTCTTAACTTAAGACTCAATAAGTGCTGAAAACTACAGGTGAGTGTCGCAGTGAAGGAATTAAGGAGATGACAGCTATGGAAACAAACTCTGGTGCCCCAAGCACTGACTTGTTGTCCTTCATGGTTAACCCAGGGCTTGTCTGTAGACGCCCCAACTGCTTAATATTTGTAATGAAATAGTGATGCACACCTGTGTTGCATGAATGCATTACCCCTTGTACTTAGGTTTGCAGTGTAAAGGATGGCAATGCTACCTAGTTAATATATACACTTGTTTTTGGAAAAAGAAACAGATCAGTAATCCAGCAGTTTATTTGATTGATTATAAGCTATTGAATCTGCATTTTCAGAGTTTGGAGCCTCTTCCCACGAGTAGTCCTGATTTTGGTGCTATAGGTGAAGAAGCAGAACTTGTGGAGGTTGAACCAGAAACTAAGCAAGAAATTCTTGAAAATAAAGATGTAAGTATTAGGGTTACCTGCCTTCCCCTTGATTATGTAGACCAAGGATCCCCAACAGGTAGCAGTCTGTCCTGTTAGAAACCTGGTGAGCAGCAGGTAATTGCATGAAGTTTCATCTGTATTTGCAGCCGCTCCTCAGCATGAGCATCATTGCCTCAGCTCCACCTCAGAGGAGCACAAACCCTACTGCATACAGCGCAGGAGAGGGATCTAGGTTGTGAACTGCTCTTCCCCTCACCCAGTCTGTGGAAAAATGGTTTTCCATCAAAAGGTGGGGGACCACTGATAGAGTACTGTAAGGTATGCAATAAAAATGATTGCTGTTACAAATGATGCATCTTTAAAACAACAGTGCTTTGTAGATTTAGAAATGACACCTTGCATAAATTCAGGTGGGGTAATGTAGTTAAGTATTATTATTTTTTAAAATCTTAAAATACTTCTTTGGGGAAACATACAAGAAAAAGATGAAGTATTTAATGTTTTTATAAGGGAGGCATTTGTTTGATTTAACTTAACAAATAAAATCCTGGGCTTCAGTTTTGAAGGAACAATTAAAAATATTGGTCTTCTCACCAAAATTGCTTAGTCTAGAATACTCCCAACTTTTAGGTGGGAGAGGATCTGCTTAATATTGAATGTATCTCTTCACAAAATCTGTGTCAAAATCTTCATGCTGATGGAATCTTTACTAATGCAGTAATTTCTAATATCTGCCCATTATTTAATACTTGTTACTTTGCTTTTTAGGTTATCGTTCAACATGTCCACTTTGATGGACTTGGAAGAACTAAAGATGATATTATCATGTATGAAATTGGTGAAGTTTTCAAAGCTAAAAATCTGATTGATGTGAGTACTAAACTTCCCTAACACACTTTCCAAAAATCTCAACAACTACATTGCAGTAACATCTTTATTTAATTCCATAGAAATTTAGAAATGGGATCAACTTGTGTGTCAGAATCTTGCAAAACTTTACTTAAATGTTTTTGATATTTTGGAAGCAGGTTCTGAGCTATATCAATTTGGGATTGTGGAAAGATACTGATTTTTTTTTTCTGATGGACACAGATTTACGAATTTCAGGGATTACTTGTAACATAGTGGTATATAGAGCACTTCAGTATGAATTATCTCAAACTCAGCCTCTGGTTTGAGTATGAAATGAGCTGCCACAGGCATTTTAAGCTTCAGTGTTGCATACTTTCATTAAATTACATGAAACATTCAAGAGTTAATGGCAGTTTCTTTGTGTAGCTTTTCCGTGTTGCCGTGATCTTTTCCTACCCTTCAAAGGCAGTAGAAATTCTGCATCTGATCTTGAAATCTGGATCAGTAAATTACTGTATATAATATGTACCTGTGCACATATCTGAGAAAAGGAACTGATTTTCAAGACAGTAAAATATCTTTGGGGAGTTGGTTATTTTTTTTTAATGGAAGGATAAATACATAATATGTAGTCCAAAGAAATTAAAACCAGATTTTGTAGTTTCTGTACAGTAGTTAGGAAATCCAATTTCTTTTATGAAAATGCAGAGCTCACTGAGTTAGCTGTATTAATTGGCACCAAATTAATGGATGTCAGTTTAACACTTTGGTATTGGAGATACTTGTACTACTTTGATTAAGTTTTGATATGTGAAGCTAAACCTTTTATATTTTGAAGGTGATGAGGAAATCGCATGAAGCTCGTGAAAAGCTCCTTCGGCTAGGAATATTCAGACAAGTTGATGTACTAATTGATACATGTCAAGGTAATAATAACAGAATAATAGAGTTGGAAGGGACCTTGGAGGTCTTCTAGTCCAGCCCCCTGCTCAAGCAGGAGACCCTATAGCATTCCAGACAAGTGGCTGTTCAGACTTTACTTAAAAGCCTCCAGTGATGGAGCACTCAGAACCTCTGAAGGCAAGCCGTTCCAGTGGTTAATTGTTCTCACTGTTAGGAAGTTTCTCCTTAGTTCTAGGTTGCTTCTCTCCTTGATTAGTTTCCACCCATTGTTCACTGCTCTTTGTGCAGTCTACTTTTGAGCAACTCTTCCCAGAATCACATAGTGCAGAACAACTGATAGAAAACTAGGCACTGCTATTTCACTCTAGAGCAGTGTTTCCCAAACTTGACAATTTTAAGGCATGAGGACTTCAACTCCCAGAATTCCACAGCCAGCAACGCTGGCTGTGGAATTCTGGGAGTTGAAGTCCACATGCCTTAAAATTGTCAAGTTTGGGAAACACTGCTCTAGAGATTTTAGGTATCAGAGTACAAGCCATGTCAGCTAGGCTCTTCAGGAACCCGTTCGAACTCCCACTTGATGTAGTGTCTCCCAATTGATGTCAGGGTAGTTAAAGTGCTGTTTCCCCCTATTCTATCTGTTTATAGCTAAATCTTTTAACTTGCCAATCTTGGACCAAATTTATAAATAAAAATCAAGTGAAATAAAAAGGAAGAGTGCAACTTATACGTAGTAATAAGGCCCAGCTAATTCCACGGCCCAAGTCAAGGGATGAGTCTGCTCTTCCACCAGCTCTTCTTCCCATTGTGGAGAGGGAGGCTTGGGGATATCGGCAAATCTTCAAATCCTTTGCTGAGGATTGAAGCAGTTGCAGACTTCGTCCTGCATTTGCAGGAGTGAGCGTGCTGAAGAAGAGCGATAGGAAAGCGTGGAAGGGCCAGTCTCAGGCTTATCTTTCTTCCATAGGCTAGAGCAGTGATGGCGAACCTTTTAGAGACTGAGTGCCCAAAAACTGGCCCCGCCCCTATCCCTGCTCCACCCCCTGCCCCGCCCCCGTTCCGCCCCCATCCCCTGCCCCGCCTGCCCGCAGGGCCACTCACTGCCTCCAGGGCTCACCACAGATCGCCCAGGCAGCCCAGCAGCACTATGGCAGTCACACCCTCTTCCCCCACCCTGCAGCATCAACTGTGCACGATGGGGTGTGAGGGCAGAGTCTTGTCTACGCTGCCTGGCTGCCATGTCCTTGCCTGCGCTACTCAGCGTGGGCCACACTCAGGGGCGACTCTCCTTCAGGGGGGCTGCTGGAGAGGAGGGGGTCACGGGTGGAGGCGAGGATGGGCAACGGCACATGTGCCCACAGAGAGGGCTCTGAGTGCCGCTTCTGGCACCTGTGCCATAGGTTCACCATCACTGGGCTAGAGCTTGGATATTGCTTGCATGCCTGTTTTACCCAGTCCAATAGTCTTTCTAACGACTGTTGCACATTTAGGTGTTTCTTACTTGTTTTGAGGTCTGGTTTGTCCAAATGAGTTTTAAATTGTTATATTAAAAACATCCACTAAAAAGATCAGCGGTAGGACTCTTTGAAATTTCCATAGTATTTCTTAAGGAGGCAAAACCCAGTAACAGATGGAGACCTTTAAGTAGAGATCAGTATTTTAATCAACTATGTTAGAGCTTGAGCCTGGTGGATACTTGGAATCAGACTGCATATATTAGAGTGGGAAATTGGGTGGCCCCTGGGGCTGTCTGCCCTCACTCCCATCAGTACACGACTAGAGTTGGGGATGCAAAGGGTCAGGTGTCTGGAAATTCTTAACTTTCCCAATTGAAGCCTAAAAGAGAATGACGGTAATTTTCAGCCTGGGCCTCTTTGGTGCCAGTCTGGCCCTGTAACCATTACCCCAGCCTGCCCACCAAGCCTGTGGTATCACCGAGACAAGCAAATCACAACTAGTTTGCCCAGTTTTGACATGAAAAATTCTGTGTTAACTAAATCTGAATCTATCTCGCTGTTCAAATGGTGCATATCATTCTGGCAAGGGGGTCAGCACTGTTGTCTTTGCTAATAAATGCACATGTGTGTGGGTTTAGGTAATGACGCTCTTCCAAATGGATTAGATGTAACCTTTGAAGTAACAGAACTGAGAAGATTAACTGGAAGTTACAACACCATGGTTGGCAATAACGAAGGAAGCATGGTAGGTCTTGCATCATTGGCTGCTGCTGAGCGTCTGCTCTGAAATATGATAGCTAGGCCATTTGAATATAAACACAATTTGGCTTCATTTTGAGAAAGTAGTTTTCCAAGTGTACATTCTCCCATTTTTCCTGCTTATTCTATAATTACTTGGAAATACAAGTTCAAAGCTTTTAGATTAGTCCACCTTAAGCTAATGTAAGAAACAGAGTTGAGCACCACCCCCTACAGTTGGACATGACTGGGCTGGAGAAGTCTTTACCTTTACCATCTACCTCAGAGTAAGAGAACAAGAAGTAGTTTCTTTATTGTCTGGAGGAAGGTAGTTAATGTTTTGGTTGATAATAACAAAATACTGAACGATTAATGTTAAGAACTGAAGAATTGGGTTTTCAAGATTGCAGGAGAATGGAAGTTTTAAAAAGCTGACAGAGAAGCTAATGGTAGAGAGTGTGTGTATGTATGAGCCACAGTCTAGTTTAGCATCTTATCATGTTTTACAGGTCCTTGGACTTAAACTGCCTAATATTTTGGGGCGTGCTGAGAAGGTGACATTCCAGTTTTCCTATGGCACCAAAGAAACTTCGTACGGTCTCTCTCTCTTCAAGCCGCAGCCTGGTCACTTTGAAAGAAAGTAAGAGTTTTAAAGTACGTGAATGCTATGGGCATATATTTTAGAGTCTCTAAAGTTCCCATTAGGCTAGTGGTTCTCAACCTGTGGGTCGGGACCCCATTTGGGGTCGAACAACCATTTCACGGGGGTCGCCAAACAACGCAGTCCGCCATTTTTTTCCCCCTTTTCCTTAGCTGTGCTACTCCCTTTTATTTTATTGGCTTTTGAAAGCCAATAGAATAGACTCTCTTGAATAGAGTCTAATTCTATTGGCTTTCAAAAGCCAATAGGAATTGTCCAGGCTGTCTCTGCCCTGCTGAGCCCACCATAAGTCCCATTCTGCAAATGGTGCTGTACCAGTTGAGTAGTCCTCGACTTACGACCAGTTGGGGGGTCACGGCATTAAAAAGGTTGAGAACCACTGCATTAGACTAAGAGGGCTTATTTCCAAGGGCTGCTCTTTAGGTTTTTGTAAGGTTCGAAAGATTTTTCTTCAGAGTAAAGATAATTTTTTTTCCCCGGATTGTACCAATTCTGAGCCTGTTTTTTCCTTTTGTGTAAATAAAAGGTCAGCTGATTTCAGCTTTCCTGATTATTTGCTAGTGGGCAGGATGTCACACCATGCTTTGCATTTTCATTATTTATAACAGTGGCCCCCAACCTTTTGAGTGCCAGGGACCAGTTCCATTGAGGGCAGTTTTTCTGCAGATGGGGGTGGTGGTTTTGTGGATCCCGCACATGCGCAGATGGGGTTTTGCTCGCTTGCACAGCCTGATTCCTGGTACCAGCCCACAGCCCAGGGTTTGGGGACCTCTGATTTATAAGAAAGGGAAAGAGGATGTAGGTGGCCGTTGTTAGATACTAAACTATTGCACAAACTTCATTCTGCTAGGAGAGGAAGAAACCAGAGATAAACTTCAGTGTTCTTAAATAGATTTAATGTGTTAGCAGAAATCTTGAGCAAGTATTTAATTTTTTTTTAATTTATACCCAAAGATACCTTAGAAAGAAATCGTGCTGTTTTTGAACCAATAAACCTGTTTCTGCTTTTGTTTTCAAGGGAGGTTTGGCATGGAAATAATGGACAAGAATTGAAGTACTATTAAGTCTTTATAAAAATTGTTATCTGCCATTCTTTTCTTGAAGAGAACTGTGGCCGTCAGGTGATTGGGGAGAGGAAGGCAGCAATTCCTAAAAAATTGACATCTCACATTTTCCTGCCATTTGCTTCTTTGCACATTGGCACCAGACACTGAGAAAACTATTTGATTGCTGTTAATTCTCCAGTATAGGCGGGTAGAAAATGGTGGTGCCTAATTATAGTATAGACCCTGTGCATACGTGCCCGTCTGTCTGAAAAATCAAGTTCAGAATTCTTTCTTAAACATTTAGCTTTGGCCAAAGGGAATGTTTCGTCCAACAATTACATACCCACTTTATGGATAATTTCCTATATTCCAAGTTCCTCTGTCGAGATTATATTGTAATTTAATTTTGAATTAAGTTGTGCTCCTGGTGTTCATTTTCTGACATGAGTGAACTTTTAAAAGAACAAATGGATGTAGGATTATATAGCTGCTCTTTCTTGTTATTCATTAAGACCAATATTATACCATTATGATAAGAAATTCTGGCAAGATAATCTGAGTCTGCATTCTGCATTATATGAATAGTTCTTATTTTCTTTAAGTCTGGATCTTATCTAATCACTATCATAGATTTGAGCAATAAACAGATTATAGACAGGGAAGAGTCTGTTGTGAGGGTGAAGGCTGTTATATTACTGGATGCCATTCCTGGTGCCTTCCAGATACTTTGGATTTCCTCTCTCAAGCTGTGTTATTTAGATCCTGTCTTATAAATTTCCTGTTTCTTCCATGATGGAAAAATATTTCTTTGGCTAATACAAGCTTGGTTTTTATTACACTGGCACAGTCTTCAAATAGTTGTACCACAAACTAAATGAATGCAAATATCTGAGTTGTTAATATTTCATGAGATACCTAAGATTATTAAGCATTAAATTGTGGGCTACTGTTTTTAATCTATAAGGTTTTTCTTTTAACCCTAACCTTAAAAGCACAAAAAAAATACAACTCTCACTGCAATGGTATGTTTTGTTCTTTAGGGTCAAATCCTTCATAGAGACAAACGGAGTAGAAGTGTTCTTTCTTTCTCAAGTCTATGTTGGAATTTTATTGCAAGGTTTTTTTTATTACATTTGGTGTCTTGTTTGTTTCTAGCATTTCTTTCAATGTGTACAAAGTAACTGGACAATTTCCTTGGAGTTCCCTTCGTGAAACTGACAGAGGGATATCAACCGAAGTCAATGTAGGTAAAATGGAGCCACATTGTCCACTGGTTAGTGAACGATGGTGAATAACTGGGATGGCGCACAGTGCTTTTGACTGGATTTCAGAAAAGTGGTTTAGAGTTAGCAGAACAAACACCTGCAACTGTTTGAGCCTCTGGGTTTTCCAGTCAAATAGTGTAAAAGCCCATTAGGTGTGCCTGCTTATTTTGTGATCCTGGAGAAATAAAAACCATTAGGCAAAGCATACAGTATCTTTTTAGGAGTTGGATTTTGCTTTCATAAGCCAATATCTGGCCAAAGTGATGAGATTGTTGATGGGTTGCTCCTGTCAGATATAAAACACGCCATCGTCTGTGTGGTAACCAAATATTCTGTTGCCTGGGGAATTCTGGGAGTTGAAGTCCAGAAAAAAGTGGCAAAGGTTGAAAAACACTGATAAAGAGGTGGTTCTCGACTTAACGACCACATTGAGTCCAAAAATTCTGTTGCTAGGTGAGACATTTGTTAAGTGAGTTTTGCCCCATTTTATCACCTCTCTTGCCAGATTTGTTAAGTGAATCACTGCAGTTGTTAAGTTAGTCACACAGTTGTTAAGTGAATCTGGTTTTCTGTTGACTTTGTTTGTCAGAAGATGGCAAGGCGATCATATGATTCTGGGACACTGCAACCATCATAAATATGAGCCAGTTGCTGAGCGTCCAAATCTTGGTCACGTGACCCTGGGGATGCTGCAATGGTTGTAAGTGTGAAAAACGGTCATAGGTCACTTTTTTCAGTGCCTTTCAACAGTCACTAACTGAACGGCTCTAAGCCGAGCCTTACCTGTACTGTAGATTATGCAAACATGAACAGAAAATGTTTTACTGCTGTATACGTTTATATAATTTTGCTGATTGTTGATAATAAAGACATTCACTTCGTATAGGTGAATTCATGCTTTATGATATGAATTCAGTCTTCTTAACGTTAGTTCCACAAGCAAACAAATGGAAGATGGAGAAAATGTGTATTTTCCTCACCCAAAGTTTGAACTTATTTCTTTCAGTTTCCTATCTGGAAGACCAACCACACACTAAAATGGGAAACTGTCTGGAGAGAACTCGGCTGCCTTTCAAGAACGGCCTCATTTTCTGTTCGAGAAGAAAGTGGACACTCACTCAAGTCTTCCGTATCTGTAAGGCTTTTTAAAGTTTGAGTGTGAAATTTAAAGTAACGCAGTTTGCCAAATGGCGGCTATTTAATATGGTAGATGAGGCAAAATTTTTAGTGCTGAAAAAAAGGTTAATAAGATGAACGTTGCCCATTCTTGTCGAAAGAAACTTTCAGATCTACTCTTTCTGCAGAATTACGGAGACGTTTAGTTTAAAATTGCCAGAGGATCCATTTTTTTTCCTTTTGAAGGTCTCTAACAATAAAATAAAGAATAATACATTCCAAGTAACCTTTTCCCAACTTACAATGTTAGCATTTAATTCTGTCTCATAAAGCATCACATTTTGTTTCTTGTTTGTAGCATGCCATGGTAATTGATTCTCGAAACACTTCAATCTTGCCTAAACGAGGAGCTTTGCTGAAGATAAATCAGGTACGAATACCTCATTAACTGTAAGTTTCATTGTAATATGGAGAAAAATAATGCTTTTGGATGGGAACAGGGAAAATCCAAATAGAATGGGAAAATTGCATCTGGCAGGGGTTGGGTTTTTTTTTTGTTTGTTTGTTTGTTTCATCAAGTCAGTGTTGACTCCTGGCAACTGCTGGGTAAATCCTTGCCAATATTCTTGGCAAGGTCTCAGAAGTAGTTTGCCGTTGCCTCTTCCTAGAGCTGAAATAAAGGGATTGACCCAAGGTCATCCCAAATTGGCTTGTGCCTCAGGTGGGACTAGAACTCATGATCTCCCAGTTTCTAGCCTGATGCTTTACCACTACATAGCTCTGGCAGTAGCCTGTGAAAAAAGGGAACGGTGAATCCTTGTCAATCACAAATTAAACCTGAGCCAGCACCGTGATGCAGTTGCTGAAAAGGCCAAAGCTGTCTTGCGGTGCATTAAAAGAAGCAAGGCTTTAGATTGTGGGAAATAATTTTTTTCTGTGTCCTGTACAAATAAAAGAGACTATGTGTAAGGGTTGACGTGAGGGGTCCTTGCTGTTCTCTGAGCTTGCTTGTTTTCTTGCAGACGTTCATTACCCAAACTAAGAAACATCAGTGCAAGTAAGGAGTGTGGTTTGCTGTCAGTTTATATTCTGGTGGCTTGCCCTGTTGGTGGATTCGATCTCCCCACCAACACTGGCAGAACAAGCTAGACTAGAATATAATCTAACAGCAAACCGCACTCCTTACTTGCGCTGATGATGTTACCTAGTTTGGGTAATGAAACGTCAGCAAGAAAACAAGCAAGCTCAGAGAGCACCAAGAACCTCCTCTGTATCCAGTGTCCAGGTTTGGGCATCACAGTCTAAAATGGACATTGACAGACTGGCATTCAGAGAAGGGCCTAGAAACACAAGCCTTCCAGGAATAGTTAAAGGATCTAGATACGTTTAGCCTTCAAAACAGATGCTCAAATGGAAATGTATTAAGCCTTCAGTTAACTTGAAGAGTTGTCACGTTGGGGAAGACAGGGAAGGACCACAGCCCATAAGTTAGAACTCCAACAAAAGGAAGCTGAGGCTGGACATCAGGAGGAACTTCCTGACAGTATGACAGTCTGCTGTTGGAATAGGCTCCATGTGATGTGGCGAGTTCTACTTACTGGCAATCTTCCAAGAGACTGGGTGGTTGCTAGAAATGCTACACTGAAAGGGGATTGGACTAGGACAGTGATGGCGAACCTTTTAGAGACTGAGTGCCCAAACTGCTACCCAAAACCCACTTATGCTTTGTCGAGTGCCGGGTGGATGTGGCCAATTGGCTGGGCATGGCCCATTGGGTGGGACTAAAAAGTTCAATCAATTCCAACTTTGCAAGATCTTTTTTTCCCCGTGAGAAGTTGAAATTGACAGATAGAACCTTTTTTTTTTTTTGCACACGGCGGCAGAGGCCTAAAGCGAAATTTTTATAAAACCCAGTGAAGGCCTACGACTGGGGCGACGGCGCGCGTGCCCACAGAGAGGGCTCTGAGCACTAAATTTATTAGTTTAAAATCAGTAGATGATGAGGGACCCAGTTTATTGTCTCTGAATTCCCCCTTCCCAATCTCCCCCCCCCTTTTTTTCCAGGAGCTTGCTGGATATACTGGTGGTGATGTGAGCTTTCTGAAGGAGGATTTTGAACTTCAGTTAAACAAGCGCCTCATATGGGATTCAGTAAGTCCTCCACTTCGGTCTTTCATTCATTGTTCGTGGCAGGAAATGATTTTTCCTTCCTCGTTCATTTGGAATGTCCTTGTCAGACCTGCTGCCACTTAAACTTTTAAATAGAAACGATCCTTGGCTCCATTTGTTGGGAAATAATAATAATATGCAGTAATGCATATAGCCAGAGCTGACCATCGTGTGCCAAAATCCCTTAGTTTAACTTTTTTCTCCCTTAGTTACCTCCCATTGTCCACCCCGTGTGACCAGTCAGATTCAGCCAGGATGTTTTCATAAAGGTCAGTTCAAGTGCAGGATGGTGTGCAGCTGGTGTGCTGGGCGACCTTGAAGCAGCCTCTGGAACAAATACAGCACTTACTTTCGGTTCCCCCCTTGCTTTCCCCCCCTCATCTTAGTTCATGGCACTGAATAATAGGGAATAGTCTTATCACTGAATAGGAGGAAAGCACAAGCAAACATGGAGGTGGCAGCTGAGGGTCATAGCATAGCATGTTTAGAATTTTTATTTTTAATTGCATAACTTACAGCACTGAATGAATAGGTCAATGTAAAATCAGGTCCTTGCTTATACCAGCATTTCTCAGCTTTAAGATGGGTGGACTTCAATTCCTAAAATTCCCCAGCCCGCAAGCGAGTTGATTCTGGGAGTTGAAGTCCATTCATCGTAAAGCTGCTATAGCAGTGTTTCTTAACCTTGACAATTTTAAGGCATGTGGACTTCAACTCCCAGAATTCCACAGCCAGCATTGCTGGCTGTGGAATTCTGGGAGTTGAAGTCCACATGCCTTAAAATTGTCAAGGTTGAGAAACACTGTGCTAAAGTTAAGAAACTGGCTTATGCTGATGAGCTCTTTCAAAGAGAGGAGCTGCAGAGACGTTATTGCTTTGGGTATGTCATGAGGAGAGGTTTCACTCATAGGTTCTTGGATACAGCCGCTGCCTGTCACAGAACAAACTCTTCCGAACGTAAAGATGCTAAGAAAAAGACTCAGGCATGTCTTGAGCAGAGATTTCAAGCTGCTGCAGACCTGCTTGTCACAGCTTGAGACAGCTTGAGAGTCTCTGTGTTTATTGGTTTTTATATACTTTTTACATACATAGGCGTTACCGTCAAATGCTGACATTTTACATTCATAAGTTTAACCATGAGATGCTGACATAAAGTTTCTTCATTGGAAAAATTCCTTCATATAAGCAACTATTTTCTAGTAACATATTACCTGTTCAAAGACCAGGTAAAAACAAATACAGATAGATCAGAAGGAGAAAGAACTAACAAAGGCAGGAAGAGATAGGAAGGAACTTGAGCATATTATTTATTTAGGTAGGTGAGATATTAAGTCAAAAGGGGATGACCTGGCTGCTTCCTTGGGACAAAAGGTATCAAAAGGTTATGAGGTTTGTGGGGGGAAAGCATGGCAACTGCACGTGCAGTTTCCCCCACATCCGAAACCTAAAGCAGTTTCAGAAGTATTTGGTAATATCGTAATGGAAGTTTGGAGACAACTAAAACGTTTGCATGAGATAAAGCTGAAGTTATTTTCATGAGATTAAAAAACTGTTTGAAACCAATTCAAAGTGGTTGTATACAGGATGGTCAAGGAAATAATGTATGCGTCTGTTTTGACTGGCTTTTGAAAGTGGTCTCCAACTTTTTATCCTGCTTCCATCTCCCTAGGACCAGGGGTAGGCAACCTTGGCTCTTTTATGACTCGTGGCTCAGGAATTCTGGGAGTTGAAGTCCACGAGTCATAAAAGAGCCAAGGTTGCCTACCTTGCCCTAGGGAGATCTGTCAGAGCTTTTGGAGGGCACGGGTGCAGATGCTTTTCTGCAGTGGAAATGTTTATTAAGAAAAAAAAAGTCAGTTTGACTAACTGTTTTATTTTTTGCGTATTCTGAATTGTAAACAATAGCTTTTATGTAAAAGAATTCTGTTTTTTTCTGAAGGTTTTCTCAGCTTCTCTTTGGGGTGGAATGTTGCTTCCCATCGGAGACAAACCATCTAGTATTGCAGACAGGTAGGTAGAGCTGATTGGTGTGCTTTGGGTTGGATTTTTTTCTCCCTTACAGGTAGCGCATTTTTGTAAAATTCCCTTGACATATTTCATATACCCTCCCTGTTGAGATCCACAGAACCTATTCCTCCATTTGGTGCAATGTAGGAGTTTGCCGTTGAGCAGCGTTACCTAAACCAGTATTCTTCAGCCTCAGCAGCTTTCAGATGAATGGGCTTCAACTCCCAGAATTCAATTCAAAAGTTGCCGAGGCTGAAACCATGGATGATGTCCAGTCATAAAATCAGGTCCAGCCACTTACAACTGTTATGATTTATGATGAAAATTCCAGGCTGCGTTATGATTGCATGTTGAGGACTACTTATAATGGATTAAAAATTGTTTATCATGAGCATCATGGCATCCGGCCTTCTCAATTCCTGGCAAATAGATGGGGAAGAAATGGAGGTAGTGACAGATTTTATCTTCCTGGGCTCCAAGATCACCACAGATGGACTGCAGCCAAGAAATTAAAAGATGCTTGCTCCTGGGGAGGAAAGCTATGGAAAATCTAGACAGCATACTAAAAAGCAGAGACGTCACCCTGCCAACAAAAGTATGTATAGTCAATGCTATGGTTTTCCCAGTTGCAATGTATGGTTGTGAAAGTTGTACCAAAAGAAAGGCTGAGTGCCAAAGAATTGAGGCCTTTGAACTATGGTGTTGGAGAAGACTCCTGCGAGTCCCCTGGACTGCAAGGCGATCAAACTGGTCAGTCTAGAGAAGATCAACCCCGACTGCTCTTTAGAAGGCCAGATCCTGAAGTTGAAACTCAAATACTTTAGCCACCTAATGAGAAGGAAGGACTCACTGGAGAAGAGCCTAATGCTGGGAAAGATTGAGGGCAATAGAAGAATGGGACGACAGAGAATGAGGTGGCTCGATGGAGTCCCTGAAGCAGTAGGCATGAGCTTAAATGGACTCTAGAAGATGGTAGAGGACAGGAAGGCCTGGAGGAACGTTGTCCATGGTGTCGCGATGAGTCGGACACGATTTTGCAACTAACAACAAATAGCTAGCAGTCTTAATGGACTAGTATCGACTGTGCAGAAGAATATGAAGCTTCTGTTACATTTTTGCCAGTCAACAGTTTAAAAACAGCTTGTCTTAATAAAATAAGTAGATGGACTTGTTCCAAGAATCCATTTAATCAATCAGAAATAATCCAATTATAAAACTTGTTGCTATTTGTAAAATAAAACTGAGATGCAAGATGCAGATGTGAAATACATTTGCTTTATTTTAGCAGAGGAATGTTTCACTGAATTAACGATGAAACTCTGAATAATGTCCTGTGCAGGCCTTAGATAATTTTATATTTGGTGATTGATTGATCCATCTTTCTTAGTACTGATAGCGTTATTGTATTATTATGGTTCATCACGTAGTCAGCCAGATGTTCAGACTCAGTTTGACATTTTTGTCTACCTGTCGAGTCCTTTCCAAGGACCTGGGATAAGCAGATGGATATTTGTGGTGTTAAAGGTATTGCTGCAGGATGTAAGCTGTTCTAAGTAAAGCTGCCTTTTGCAACTGCCTGATGATGATTTGCCAATGCCAGTGGTATTCAAATGGTGCTTCAGTGGTTTTGGGATTGCATCCAAGGTGCCTAGTACTATTGGTAATATCTTTGCTTTCTTTTGCCATAGTCATTCTATTTCTGTTTGCAGGGAGGGGTTTTTCCGTTAGACTAGAATATAGAATATAGAATAGGACAGTGGTTCTCAACCTTTTTAATGCTTCAACCCCCAACCGGTCGTAAGTCAAGGACTACTCAACCGGTCGTAAGTCGAGGACTACTCAACTGGTGCAGCACCGTGTGCAGAATGGGACTTTTGGCGGGCTCAGCAGGGCAGAGACAGCCTGGACAATTCCTATTGGCTTTTGAAAGCCAATAGAATTAGACTCTATTGAAGAGAGTCTATTCTATTGGCTTTCAAAAGCCAATAGAATAAAAGGGAGTAGCATAGCTAAGGAAAAGGGGAAAAAAATGGCGGACTGCATTGTTTGGCGATCCCTGTGAAACGGTCGTTCGACCCCAAATGGGGTCCCGACCCACAGGTTGAGAACCACTGGAATAGGACCTTGGAGGTCTTCTAGTCCAGCCCCCTGCTCAAGCAGAAGAACCTATACCATCTCAGACAAGTGATGGTCTAGCCTCTTCTTAAAAATATCCAGTGATGGAGTGCCCACAATTTCTGGAGGCAAGCTGTTCCACTGGTTAATTGTCCTCACTGTCAGGAAGTTTCTCCTTAATTAATTAATTAATCTCCAGTTTTTTCTCTTGTATTTTGCTGTGTCAGGTATTCCCACATCCACTATCCAGACTTTTTTGATCTTTCTTATTGACAGTTGTGTAGCAGATGCCTATCTGTTTGAATTGTAAAGTCCCAGAGAGCGTTAGCTTTTTCGTTTTCTATTCTTCTATTTTACTTGCTCCATTTTCCCACCAGTTCTTGCTTACAGGCAAATGGTATTTCTTGCAGATCGACTAATGCACTCAAATCACAGGCATATGGCCAGAAAGAGTAAAATAATGCACTATTGTTGCTACTTTGTCATGCGATTGTTTGTTTGTAAAATATAACTATTTGATTAATAGTAATATTAATATACTAATTCAGTTTCAGTTGTTAATCAGAAAAATTCCCTCTCTTTAAGGTAGGGCCCTAGGTTTATTGCAGTACTTGCACTACCCAAGCTGCAAAAGTACAATGGGGGGAAAATGTCAAAATCATTCATAGCCAAGAATATATACAGCAGATTACACTGTAAAAGGTTCAAGTTACAATTATTCGCTTAGCCGTTTATAATTCAGACAGTTGTTTCCCTTCCTTGATTTTTTTTCCCCTCCACTTTTCCTGTAGATTTTATCTTGGTGGCCCGACAAGTGTACGTGGATTCAGTATGTACAGTATTGGACCTCAAAGCGAAGGTATGCATTTCTTTAAGCAATTCCTTTGCAGTTGTGTTAGAGACCAAACAATTCTTGCTGAAAGGTTGCTTAACATTTGAGCAGTTTTACTTGTAAGCTATAAACTTCCATCCTGGCTTGTTGAGAAAAAGCAAGGAAGTGTTGTGATTCCGTGCCAGCCTGTGGTCCCAACAGCTGAGTCTGAGGAATCTGAGGAGGAAGTGGAAGAGGCATTTGAAGGGCCATCAGGGTCAGAGGGAGGTTCTGATGAATTATAGGACTCACGGTTTGATGCAGAGCCTGGGCCCTCCAGTCGTGGTCCTGATAAAGCTCAGCTGTGTGAGGAGAATGAGTCAGATTCGGAGGACTCACATCTGATGGACATGCTAATTGATGCTGGCACACGCCGGCAATTAGCAAGAGTAAATCAGCAGCAGTCAATGCGACAACTCCAGGGAAAAAGGAGAAGGCACTGAGAGGCAACGCCTTGGGACTGCTGTATAAAAAGAGGAGGTGTGGGCGGTGCTGGTTGCTGAAGGCAACAGTTTGCAAAGTACTTCATGGGATTCTGTTCTGTTCGTCTTGCCTGTGACTACTCTTCCGTTTGCATCGTGTTTCATGTGGACTATTTCCTTCATTTGGATTGAGTTTGGCTGCTTTTGTTTCTGGATTATTTGGCAGGTTTGTCACCCATATTAAAAGGGGTTTGTTTTGTTTTAAGTCTCCAGCCTAGTTTTATCAATAGGGGTTTGGTTCTTGTGCCTTTAACAAGGACGGCTATAGGCTGGGATAGAACAGGAAGCTACGCTCTGGAGTCTGCCAGGATTTAGATCTAGAAAAAGAGGTTCTAATTCAAAGAAGAGGGAGATTTTCTTTCAGAGGCTGAGTAGTTTTCAGAACTGTGCCATCTTTGGCCTTGAATGAAGTTGTGGCCCCCAAGAGCACAATCACAATTGGAGTTCCTCCTGAGTTCTCAGATTCTGCTGACAGCGCAAGTGGAGACTGTGACGAAGGTGGCTTTTACACAGCTTTGATTGATGTGTCAGTTGTGAAATTGCATGGAATGGAATGCGCTGAACATAGTCACTTGCATCCTAGTTATGTCTAAATCAGAATATTGTAATTTGCTTTAGCTAGAAGTAAAGACTAGGATAGAGAAAGCTCGAACAGCATTCTCCAAAATGAAAAAGGACTTCTGCAGTCACGACATAAACCTAAGACTGAAAATCAGGCTTGTCAGATGCTATATTTTTTTTATCCTGCTCTATGGAGTAGAGAGTTGGTCTCTGACAGAAGGCCACCTGAAGAGATTAGAAGCATTTGAAATGTGGATTTACAGGCGGCTGTTACGTAGAAGCTGGGTTGACAAGATCAGAAATGAGGAGGTGATCAGCCACCTGGGAAAGCCAAGGGAAATCATCAAATCAATTAAAAAACGAAAATTAGAATATTTCGAACATGTGATGCGACACCCAGAAAAATACGGCATACTCCATTTAATCCTCCAGGGAAAGATTGAAGGCAAATGAGGTCCAGGCAGAAGAAGAACATCACGGCTTCAAAATCTAAGGGACTGGTTTGGACAAAACTCAGCAGCATTTTTTCATGCGGCTGCTGATAAAAACAGGATCGCCAACATCCGATAATGGATATGGCACAAGAAGAAGAAGAAGATTTAACTTCTGTCTAAATATATTAAATCTTACTTCATTCTTTGACAAAATGACTAAATTAGTACACCAGTGAAATGCTGTGGACATGGTATACTTCAATTTCAGCAAGGCATTCGACAAAGTAGATCACAACCTACTTCTTGGTAAGCTAGAAAAATGGAACAGACAGCATCACCCCCAGATAGATTTATAACTGGCTAACAAACCGTACTCAATAATACTGCTGTTGCTTTTTCTTTTTACAGATTCCTATCTAGCAGTTTAGTCTTCTCCATTGGGTATAATTGTGTTGCTGCAGTTTGCTAAGATTTATCAGACACTGCCTGAAACAGTTCATTGCATTTCTTGTGAGACAAAATATCTGCAAAGAAACAATCAATTTTTCTTTCAGATGAAGAAGAACCTTTGCTTTGAAAAACATCTCCTCGATTTGTAATTTGACAAATATTTTTCTGCTGTTTTAGGTGATTACCTTGGAGGAGAAGCTTACTGGGCTGGGGGTCTGCATCTCTATACACCGCTTCCTTTTCGGCCAGGTCAAGGTGGTTTTGGAGATCTCTTTCGAATGCACTTTTTTCTTAACGCTGGCAATCTCTGCAACCTTAATTATGGTAAGGGCTGGACTACTGCAATGCGCTGACCCTGGGGCTGGCCTTGGAAGAACGTTCATACGTTTCTAGGGTGCAAAATGCAGCAGTGCGGGGAGTTATGTATGCTCTGCAAGCTGCATTGGCTGTGCCAGTGTCTGGTGCTAGTCTTCCCATCTTCCTTTTACTTCTCAGGTGAAGGGCCAAAGGCTCACCTCCAAAAACTGGCCGAGTGCATCCGGTGGTCTTACGGGGCTGGCATAGTCCTGAGGCTTGGAAACATCGCACGATTAGAACTCAACTACTGTATCCCGATGGGAGTACAAAGTGGAGATAGGTACATTGGCATTTTTATGTTCCGTTTCTACAGCTCAGAACATACCCAAAGCCCTTTCATGCTTCAAGATGATAATCTCCATGTCAAGCAGAAAATACCTGGGTGCAGGCGTTTTTGGAATAGTCAAAACATCTGTCTATAACTTCAAAGAACGTGTTTCTAATTCAAAATGTTTTGTATACCCCTACCCTTGGGCTGACAGGAGCTAGATATTTTTGTTTGTTATTTTTGTTTGTTTTGTTATTCTTTTTCATTTGACCTAAAATCAAAATTGGGCCTTGAGGGCAGAAGTGTGTTCTAGCAGAGATAAATGCTCCTTAACTTCCTACGAAAAAGTATAGCTTTGATCCTAACATTGTCATAATCTGTTTAGATTACTACTGTAAGTCCACAGGCTTCTGTGTGAGATATAGAGAATTGGTTCTTTTTCAGCGATTGTAAAGAGCGTTCCGTCATTCTGAAAAGTAAAAGAATGAGCCATTCAGGATCACACTCTGATGTGTTTTGCACATTCCAAACCATTTTCAGGCACACAGAATAAGTTGCCTTTGTGAAACAAAAATAAAGGGACTCCTTTGATAACATTAGATCAGGGCTAGGCAGCCTTGGCTCTTTTATGACTCGTGGACTTCAACTCCCAGAATTCCTGAGCCAGCCATGCTGAGGGGAAAGGGAGAACTTTCCAAGCTGAGCCATGCTGGCTCAGGAATTCTGGGAGTTGAAGTCCACGAGTCATAAAAGAGCCAAGTTTGCCTACCCCTGCATTAGATTGATAAAATGTACTATAGAGACATTTGTCCCCCTGTCTATAGGAAGCATCCACAGCCTTTAGCTTTTAGATTTAAAACATTTATTTTTTATTAATGCTAGATGTTAGAAAAATGAAAATAGCTGTAGGAAATAGACCCTGAATCACAAAATAAACCTGTTGTACGCTCAATGGTATTAAAAATCGACTTCAAGGTTAAATCCTTTAGCAAATATATTTTTGTTCTTATTTTTCCTGGAGTTTTGAACAGTCTTAGAAAAAACATCTTTTTGTTGTTATTGTTACATCACTGGAAATTATAGATTGGCTGATCTACTTAGATCAGTGTTTCTCAACCTTGACAATTTTAAGGCATGTGGACTTCAACTCCCAGAATTCCACAGCCAGCATTGCTGGCTGTGGAATTCTGGGAGTTGAAGTCCACATGCCTTAAAATTGTCAAGGTTGAGAAACACTGACTTAGATCCATCTTGATCCAACCTGAAAACCATCAACTCTGTTTTGTGTTGCAGCAAGCAAACCAAATAAGAGGCTGAAAATGCTGGATTGAATTAGGTCAGCGGTTCTCAACCTGTGGGTCGGGACCCCATTTGGGGGGGGTCGCCAAACAACGCAGTCCGCCATTTTTTCCCCCTTTTCCTTAGCTGTGCTACTCCCTTTTATTCTATTGGCTTTTGAAAGCCAATAGAATAGACTCTCTTGAATAGAGTTTAATTCTATTGGCTTTCAAAAGCCAATAGGAATTGTCCAGGCTGTCTCTGCCCTGCTGAGCCCGCCAAAAGTCCCAGTCTGCAAACGGTGCTGCACCAGTTGAGTAATCCTCGACTTACGACCGGTTGAGTAGTCCTCGACTTACGACCAGTTGGGGGTCGCGGCATTAAAAAGGTTGAGAACCACTGAATTAGGTAGAGATGAGAAATTGCCCTTAATGTTGCCAGTATGATTTGTGATCTCTAGTCTGAATACTCAAGCTTACTGATGGAAGTTTGCAACAATTCTATGTTTATTTAGAAGGGATTGTTTCATGGGGCTATCCCTTGGGTCAGTACAAAAGGAGGTTTTATTTTCCAGTAATTTATTTATTTATTTGAAATATAGGAGTGAAACAAAGTGTTTTGAATTTTTTTTTTCTTTTCCAGAATATGTGATGGAGTTCAATTTGGAGCGGGAATAAGGTTCCTGTAATGTTGGTGGCCTTTTGCAGTGTTGGTCCAAAAGGAGCAGCTGAATTTCAAGTGTGATGGGGTGATATCCCATATATATATATTTTTTGAAATATAATTATGTATGAAGGATTAACTTCCATTAAAAACCCCAAAAATATTTTACGTAGTGTTTTACCTTTGATTTGGTCAAAGATAATGTGACCTTTTCTATGGCCTTCAGACCAAGGCTTTGATCCCATCACCCCAGTCATGGATACTGAAATCTCGGCTTCCAGAGAAAATACGAAGACTGTCTGGCAAATTGTCCCTCAACAGAGTGAAATCAGAGTGAAAGAAAAGAGATCATCCAGCTACTGCTACTTCTTGGTGACTTTTGCTAAGGAGAAGATGCAGCAGCAGGCAGCTTCAAGTGCTTGGTTGGTCTTTCTTTTTGAATAAATGCATGTGAGGAGGAAGAACACACTGTGCACGGATTCAAAAAGCTGTCTTTGAGATCATTTCTTTTTTAAAAAAAATAAACCTACATCAAAAGGTAGCACCTTTTCCATCTAAGACATTTTATTATTAAAAAGGCAGAGAATAAAAAATGTCATTACCAGGCAAAGTTTGTTACATTTCCCCAAAATACTTATTTTTAGCATGATTTCTGTCAGCTCTATGAGATAGACCAGATCAGGGACATGACTCACAGAATGACTAGAACTAAACTTTATTGGGATTGGCTCAGGTAGTAGAATCTAGCAAATCTCTCTGTGTTTTCTCCCCCTCCCCGGAAATGCTGGGGGGGGGGGAAGCAGTCTGAGTAATACTTCCTGGACTTGTTCCGCTATTGTTTTTCTCCTAATGGCTTCTGGACAACTTCTTTCAGGTCGTTTCCAAGCATCTCTTTGGATTTTCTGATCTTTATCAAAAAAAAGGATGCCAGGTCAGATGCCAAATGAGATGAGGTGTAGTTTAGTTCCAGCAAGATGGGTTGTATCTCCTTTATGTTGAATAAAAACATCTAACATTGTGGATTTCAAAACATATGATTATTTTTAAAGGCAGTCTTTCCCCCCCACCCACCCATAAACAGGTGTGGTGCATGAATTGGCTCTTTAGGTTACTTCCAGAATGAATGTGATAGTATATAGTAGTATAGATTAGGTAGATCAGCTCTCGATAATTTTAGAAATCACCATTGATAATAAAATGGAGCTTTTTGATTACCGGAATTGCGTTCTCTCACAAGAGACAACCTCAGTGGTTACCAGTTTCTCATTCTACATAACAGTCTTATTTAAATGACAAATGGCTGGCCTTAGTGTCCGTTTTCTCTAGGAATGTCATCTTTCTATGAATCCTTTTTCTTCTAAATAAGTCTTCTAAGAACAGGAAGGTTTTTTGTTGTTCTGAAATTTTGAAATCCTTTGCAAAGTTCAGGTGACTCCTGAGACAATTTTTTTTCTATTCTGCCTTTGAACAGTTCTTTGTGAAAATGATCATTTTAATGACATTTAGTAAGCTTCAGTACCTTTTTGCTAAAAGAATAAATACGTTTAATATTTGTTTATGTATAATTTCCTTATTACTCTCAGCAGCTTAGAGTTGTATAAGCAAACTAAATAAAAGTAAAGAGTGAAAAAATGCTGGTAAAATGCCCTTCTAAATTGCACTAAAGAAAGACCGGGGTGGGGGTGGGGAGGAATTCCTATCTGCTGCTCCTGTCCAGCAGCTTCTTTTAAATTTGTTGGTCTGGTCCTGAACCAGTTTGTTTTGCTCATTTTTTATTCTGCACATGAGCAGGAGAATCATGATCTACAGTCCTTTGCAACTAAAAGTAAAAGCTGATCCAGTCATGAAGAGCATGGATGAACAGGTGAAAAGGAAAACACGCTCTTTCTGAGTTTGATGATGATTTTACGTATCAGGACACAGTAAAAACCATCTGGTCCTTAGCAGTTCTTAAAAAGTAGGTAAATACAACTTCAGATGAACTACAACATATGACATATTACACCATGTCGTTGCTTCTTTTACAAAAAGAAAACCAAAATGGAGAAGCCATGTGTGGAAAAACTAAGTAAACCTTATGATTTAATAGCTTGCAGAACCATTTTTAGCAGTAATAACAATAAAGAATCATTTTCTGCATGACTATCAGTCTCATATCATTGTAGAGGAATTTTGGCTCACTCTTGCTTACAACATTGTTTCAGTTCATAGTATTTCAATTGGGTTGAGGTCTTGACAATGACTGGACCATTGCAACAGCTGATTCTTTTCTTTTTCAACCATTCTATTGTAGATTTGCTGATGTGCTTGGGATCATTGTCCTGTTGCATGACCCAAAGTCACCCAAGTTTTAGCAGTCAGACAGATGGCCTTGTATTAGACTCTAGAATACTTTGGTATACAGAGGAGTTCATGGTCAACACAATGACTGCAAGATGCCCAAACCATCACCTGTGGCTGCAAAACAAGCCCAAACCATCATCCCTCCACCACCACAGTTGATGTGAGATGTTTGTGCTGATACGCCGTGCTTGGTTTTCACCAAATGTGGCATTGTGTATTATGGCCAAACATTTCCATTTTGGTCTTGTCTGAACTATATTCAGTCTTTTTCTAATTGTGCTGCCATGAACGTTACCCTTTAACATGCTAACCAAGGCCTGTAAAGTCTTGAGATTTAACTTTGGGATTTTGCAATTTCTCTTGAGCATTGCATGGTCTGACCTAGGGGTGAATTTGTGGGATGTCCACTCCTGGGGAGATTGGCAACTGCCTTGAATATTTTCCACTTAACAAATAAATTTCCTCACTGTAGAATGATGGACTTTTAAGTTGTCCATCATTGGAAATGGCCTTATAACGCTTCCCAGATTGACGGGCAACAACAATTGCTTCTCCCAAGTTCACTGCTGATGTCTTTCCTCTTTGGCATTGTGTTAACACAAACCTCAATACTGGAGACCAGCAAACTCTGAAAACTTCAGCTTTTATAGAAGTAGTCACACTTGCTGTTGATTAACTGATCAAGGACATTTGATTAGCAAGCACCTGGCAGCTACCGTGTTTCCCAGAAATAAGACCTGGGTTTGGGGTTTTTTTGCCTCCAAAAGAGGCACCAGGTCTTATTTTCGGGGAATGTCTTTTCCAGTCTTACCTTGTGGCGGCACCGACAGCCCCGCCCAGTTGGTCCAGTTCGGCCACTTGCCACCGCTTGCATGCAGTGCCCCAGCCTTTAGTTTGCCGTCAGAGGCCTTCAGGAAAGGCCTCTGCAGCTGAGAACTGAATTCTGGATTAATGCGTGGGGGCCAAGGGGGTGGGACGCATGGGGCAGTTCCACCCCACCACCCCCGCCCTAGCTTGATTTTCAGGCATGTGCCTCGCCCCCAAAACTAGGGCTTATTTTGGGGGTAGGGTTTATATTAGGCTCACCCCCAAAAATCAAGCTAGGGCTTATTATCAGAGTAGGCTTTATTTTCTGGGAAACAGTACTTAGCCCAGGGGTAGGCCACCTTGGCTTTTATGACTCGTGGACTTCAACTCCCAGAATTCCTGAGCCACCATGGCTCAGCTTGGAAACTCCCTTTCCCCTCAGCATGGCCGGCTCAGGAATTCTGGGAGTTGAAGTCCACGAGTCATAAAAGAGCCAAGGTTGCCTAGCCCTGACTTAGCCTCTTCACACCTATGGAAGCAGTAAGGGTGTACTTAGTTTTTCACATATGGCTTCTCCATTTTGGCTTTCTTTTTGTAAAATAAATGATGACATGGAGTGTTGTTGTTCATCTGAAGTTGTATTTACCTACTTTTAAGAACTGCTAAGGAGCGGATGATTTTTACTATGCCCAGATACGTAAAACACGAGAGTGTATTTATTCACACGACTATTCACACGTCCATGATAGCAGGAGGAAAAAAAGTCTGGTTATCTCTTTCCTGCTAAAATATTTTATGAAAAGACACTCCTGGTTTTACAATACAGGTAACCCTCAACAGTTTGCTTAGTGACCAATAGAAGTTACAACGGTATTGAAAAAAAGTTACTTATGATCATTTTTCACACTTATGACCATTGTAACAATCACGGCCATGTGATTTACATTCAGATGGTTGACAACTGACTCATATTTATGACCGTGGCAGTGTCCCGGAGTCACGTGATCTGCTTTTGCGACCTTCTGACAAGCAAAAGTCAATGGGAAAACCAGATCCACTTAACAACCGTATTACTAATTTAACAACTGTAGTGATTCGGTTAACAAACGTGGCAAGAAAAGTTGCAAAATGGGGCAAAACTCACTTAACAAATTTCTCCCTTAACAACATAAACTTTGGACTCAATTGTCGGAAGTTGAGGACTACCTGTAGTGGAAATCAAATCCCCCCCCTTTTTTTCTTGGCCTCGGTAGTTTCCCATTGCTGCCTTCTTTGTCTTCCTAGCTAGCCTAACCTACAGCCCGGAGATTTCCTAGTGGTCCCCCGATCAGCCTCAACCCCAGGCTTGGCTCAATCAAGAGGCCTCAGCAACCTCCTCTCCCATCCCCGCCCCACCACGCCCCGAATCCTGTTGCAATTCGGAGTCGTTTTCCTCCAGCTTTAAGAAAGACACCGAGAAGCCGGGAACCCTTTGTCAGTCTTCAGGGCCAGGCTGGGAGGGAAGGGGCGGGGCAGCCCCTCCCGAAAAGAGGGACACCTCGTCTGGCAGCTGCAGCCGCAAGCGCCGGGGCGGGGGGCGGACGAGCGAGCGGGCGTCTCCGCGCCATTACCGGCGGGCTCTCGCCTCTCCGTCCAGCCCCCCCGAGCAGCGGCGCCTCGCTCCACCCGCGGCTCTCCCCTCACCGCCCGCGGACTTCCTCGCCGTAGCAGGGCGCTGTGAAGGGAGCCGGGCGGCGCGATTCCGCGGCGGCTTTCCTGCGTTCGCCGCGCCTGCCCGCTGAAGGGGCGGCGGCCAGGAGGGGTCAAGAGGCCGGCGCGCGTCCAGCCTCTCTCGCCCGGCGGTCCATGTAGCCCGGCGCGGAGAAGCGACTGTCCCGTTCGCGCCAGCCCAGCCCAGCCGAGTCCCCACCGCCGCCGCCGCGATGTCCTCCCCGGTGCGCTCGCCCCATCGGACGAGGAAGGACGAGTCTTTCCTGGGGAAACTCGGAGGGACGCTGGGCAGGAAGAAGAAAGCCAAGGAGGGTGAGTAGCCAACGGGGGGAGGGGGGAGCAATCGGCGCGCCTCTTTCCTGGGCTCCGAGCGCGGCCGGGACTACCTTCTCCGGCCCCGCTTCGAACGAGATCCGTCGCCCGCGGCTTGTGCGAAAGGCTTAGAGCCGGGCAGGTTAGGAACCATCCCAGCCGGAGCGCTCCGGGTGAGTAGCAGCTCAGGAGAGACCTTGTGGTGGAATGAATCCGTTTCCCGGATTTGAGTAAAGGGCACCACTGTGACCCGCCCCCTCCCCCAAAAAAACATCCTGCAAACATCTGCAACCCCTTGCCAGGTGAACATCAGTACCTGGATTGGGTATGTTGTGTTGAAGGCAGCTTGAAGCCTGTGTTGTGTATGGCCTCTGCTCCCGAAGAGAGCATCTATAGGTAGTTCTTGACTTATAATAGTTCATGTGGGGACTGTTCAAAGTTACGACTTGGCACTGGAAAAAGTGACTTATGGCCGTTTGTCACACTTCCAACCCATTGTGGTATCCCCTTGGTCACGTGATCAAAAGTCAGACGCTTGGCGACTGACTCATATTTAAGACGGTTTAAGACGGTTAGGCTCATGTGATCATCCTTTCTGATCTTCTGACAAGCAAAGTCAATGGGGAAACCAGGTTCACTTAACCAAGTTACTAACTTACCAACTGCAGGGATTCACTTAACAATTGTGGCAAGAAAGGTTGTAAAGTGGGGCAAAACCTACTCAACAAATATCCCACTTAATAACAAAAATTTTGAGGTGAATTCCACCAAGGAAATAGAGGTGAAGTCTTAAAAGTATCCTGTTTGATCCCTCCCTTCGGCTTCCCTTCTCTGCATTTCCAGTTACTTGGTGGAAATTTTCATAACTATTTGATCCATGCAAAATGATCCTGAGGGGCCTTCAGCTTCCTGGTTAATAGCATTTATGTATTTAGACAGAAGGACCCAGCTGAAATCTCACAGTGAGATTTGCTTTGCTTTTCTGGAGATCAGTAATACTGTCCTACTCTACAAGGTTGCTGCTAAGATCCCTGAGTTTATGCATATGACATAATGATGGTCATTTTTAAAATACCTGGCCAGAGAGTAGAAATTTAAGGGAATGTAGTTAGGTCAATAATTGAACTGGATGATCCCTGGCCTTTGTGTCACCAAGCTGTAGAAAGGGTTACACTGAAGTGGAGTTTTTATGATGTGCAATCAACTAGGTTGCAAAATGAGAATGTACAGATAAAATCTGTAAAACTGGAATTAACCCCAAAGGAGTCTTTTTTTTTTTTGCTTTTTAGAGACTTGTAACCTCACTGACCGTAAGAATCTTTTTATCTTGCTTTCTCTGAGTTGAGCTCCATACAGATTTAATACATCTATGTGTTTCATCTTGAGGGTTGCATTAGCAGCAGCAAATTTTAAATGGTTTGTCTTTTTCTAAGATAATTTTTCTACCTGACAGGCTTGCAGTTCTGAGATTTCTTGGTGGTCTCTCATCTTGAGATTAGCCAAGCTATGTGCAGATTAGCATTTATTGCCTTGACCGAGAGATGGGGGACTAACATAAGAAAAGATATGAATTCATGTATTTTTAAGAACGTTAACATTTTAAAACCAAAATGAATGGAGGTAGTTCCCCAATTTACAACTGTTCATTTGACAACACTATGTATATGTATATATCCAAACTAGACTGTGTTGTTCCTCTGTGTCATATATGTGTGTATGTGGATATATGCATAATCTTTTGTCATGTTTATGTAGTGTATATTGGTTACCCTTTGAGAGCTGAATGCAACAAAATTTCATTTTAATGTATGCTGACTGGGGTACATTTAAAGTAACAATAACATTTATTCTGTTCCAGGGGTCCTCAACCTGTCTGGGTTGGTGGCCCGGTGGGAAAGGAAGGGGCAGGCACCTTTATGCATGCATGCATGCACATACACGCAAATGTGGCTTCGTGTCCGTGCATGCAAACAGGGCTGTGAGCATGCGTGCTCCACAAATGGGGCTGCTAGCGCTGGCACGAGGCTTGTGGCTCAGCTAGAGCCGGTGTGAGGCTCGTGGCTCGCAGTTTGGCTAGCGCCGGTGCAAAGGGGGGTGAGTGCATATGCAGTGGCTACTCACTCACGCGGCCTGATGGCGAAGAGCCACGGCCGGGTAATGGGCCATTGCCCTTAGGCTGGGGACCTGTTCTAATGATATAAAATCAAAAAAAGTGATTTATTATTTGTACTCAGATAACTCAGAATCTTCATAATCTCTCCTGGATGGTGGGGAATGGAAGGATTTATATTCCTTGTAGACAGCTTGTCATTTGCATTCTTTTATAGCAAGGGTGTCAAGCTGCTGGCCCGTGGGTCAGTTTCATCATACCGAAGCCGCACCCACCCCATTGCAGGCAATGCAAAAAGAGTCACGATAAGTTAGGTGACGTGGCGAGTGTGATACCCGTGTTTTTAGAGAGCGGTTGGGGCCATTTGGAGGTTTTCTGTGTCCTCAGAATCACCTGAGTAGTACAAATGTGTATGGAGCCTTCTGGTTGCAGGCTGCAGGAAGCTTCTTGTATAAGGAGGGAAACGTCTTCAAAGAAAAAACAAGAAAGTCCAGTTGCCTCCTGAAAAAGCACCTTTGGGACAACCATGACCTGGATGACTGAGACACTTCTAATTAAGGGCAGATTAAACAATGGCTTAGCCTCGAAAGAAAAAAAGAGTGTGAGGTAAATACTCAGGATCAGCCTATCTTCATTCTCTTGAGTATAAGAAGAATAAGAGAGAGTTATTAGACCCTTCAACAATAAAGTAGAGTTCCTGCAGCTTTGTGTTCAGTACTCTGTTTCCTGATCTGGTCTACTGCAGAGGTTGTCTTCTGTCACCTGCTGAATCCTTTCTCCATAAAGATGCTGGCTGCTGCTGAGGGGACATCATAGAATCATAGGGCTGGAAGTGATTTTGGAAATCTTGCTCGTCAGTCTCCTGCAGGAGCTCTTATATCATCCTGGACTGCGGTGTTTCTATGCCACACATCTAAAATCAGGCAGAGTTTCATTGACACTGTTGTGTAATGCCTTCTTGACATTTTTGACTACACCCTGTAGAAATTTTGAGTTCGACCTGAAACGAGCTGAGCGTGCAACTGCAGTGTCCATCCCTAGGCTGTAAGCTCAAGAATTGGTGTGAATCGTGCACTTAATATGTCGGACATCTCTCCGTGTGCCTTTGTACACTGCTTTTTCACCACCATCTCACTAGACTTTGCCCAGCCCAGTGCGGACCATCCCATTTTGAGGTTGATACGGGAGCCCCAAACATTTGCAAGGGAACCATTTTGCCTCCCCCCTCCCGATTTCTTTAAGATATATTTTAAAAGGAGATAAGAAATGTATGTAATAGAGGTAGGGAAATCAGATATTAATAGAGAAAAATCGGTAGATTTTTCACAAAACTAAAAAACAATTCCCACACATCCTTAGAAGCTTTAAAGCATTAGGAGATATTTCATATTCGTTTTTTGAGTCAAAATACACATGTCCCTGTTAAGTTTTAAGATAAAAGTATTCAGTGGACAAAAAAGAAAAAACCATCGATAGAAAATGATACTTTCCACTAATACTCCAAATCAGTGTTTCTCAACTTTGGCAACTTTAAGATGCATGGCTGGCTGGGGAATTCTGGGAGTTGAAGTCCATGCGTCTTAAAAGTTGCCAGGGTTGAGAAACTGTTCTATAAATTTTTCAGTAAATTAGAATACGGGCTCCAAAATCCTAATTTTGGGTGTGGCACAATTCTAGGGATAAGACTGTATCCAATAATTTAATTTAAAATTAAATACTGCGTTGGATTTCCTTTATAAAGACAACATTATTTTAGACCTCTAGGCATTCACTCTGCATTCTTCCCAAGCTTCTACTTCTCCCATCGTGAAGACTCCCCCCCCCCATAGGAAGCAGGAAGGATCTGGCAGGCCAGGGGTCGGCAACCTTGGCTCTTTTATGACTCGTGGACTTCAACTCCTAGAATTCCTCAACCAGCATGGCTCAGCTTGGAAACCTTTCCATTTCTCCTCAGCATGACTGGTTCAGGAATTGTGGGAGTTGAAGTCCACGAGTCATAAAAGAGCCAAGATTGCCTACCCCTGTGGCAGGCCTTATGGTTTCTTGGGGTTGCAACTGCTGCTTTTGGGGTGTCGTTTTGCCACCTCAGTGGTGCTGGAGTATGGCAGCTTAGACATGGTCACAGGCTTGGCTGAGACTGATTGGTGCTGATAGTGCTGCAAAACGCACAATTCCAGAGCCAAACACAATTAGTTTAATAGGTTAGATGTTGGCTATACGGTTAATAAAACAGAGCTGACTTCACTAAAATGCACCGTGAAGGGCAATAGGGTTTCCAGCTACTACAGGGCTTAAATGCTTATTGTCCAGAAAAATCAGACAGTAAAAGGACAGATATACTTTTACAAAGTGGCTATATGTGAAATCAAGACGATAAGTTATGGGCTTCATCATTTTTATACTCACTGGGATATGACTGATCTCAAAGAGCTAAGCAGGGCTGGAGCAGAATGTTTTTGGAGGAAGGAAGACTACTAGGAGATGTAATTGGGAAGTTCAGAACACCTGGAGGAAGTCAGGAGCTAACCAATTCCACAACGTTGCCAACATTGTCATATCTTTGACGTTGGGTATGTTGGGGTTTACAGATTGGCATTTCTATCAAGTGGGGAGATTTCAGAGACTGAAGAATTTGGGCTGAAAAATGAGCTATCTTCCTTTCTCTTTCAGTACAGGAAGTTCTCGACTTCACAACCATTCATTTAGTGACTTTTTAAAGTTACGATAGCATTGAAAAAAATGACTTATGACTGTTTTTCACACTACGGCCATTGCAGCATCCTCATTGTTGCATGGTTAAAATTTGGATGCTTGGCAACTGGCCATGAATTTATGACACTCATGGTGCCCAAGGTCATGTGATCACCTTTTCTGATCTTCTGACAAACCA